GAATCACATCGAAAAAGCGCAAATTGTGCGGATCAGTGTGGCTTACCAGAGGTGGCGAGTCAATCAATTCGACCCCAGTGACGTCGGCGATGCTCAACTCAGACAGCGCCATTTACTTGTTTGTCTTCTTAGTCTTGAAGTGAACGCAAGGCATCATAGGATAACACTACACTCCTTTTTCTTATTCAGGATTTGCCTGCCTTTTTAATTTTGCTCTCGTTCGCCCCAGATCTAGTGACAAGTGACCCATTTCAATGGCCTGCCTTGAACATTAGGACAATGGTTTGCTCTGCAGAGATTGTTCGTCCACAAATGCAAAAGGATAAGCTCAGATCATAAGCGAACGAAAGAATAGGGGCTCCGCAGCTGTCAAAAAGATGCTGACAAAACAGTGCCCGTAATGCATACCGAGCCAAGAGCTAGTCTCAAACAGGTCTTTTGGGGTCTTACAAGGATTGTTTGGTTGTCTTCACAGTTTGATAAAACAAAAACAAACTCTGAGAAAGAAGGAAGATTGCCTAAGGCTCCGTTCGTTTGGCGGAAAATATTTTCCTTTTGGAAAATATTTTCCCGGAACTCATTTTCCTGAAAAATATTTTCCCGGAACATAATTTTCCGGTGTTCGGCGACCAATATGAAAAAGTTTCGGAAAATATTTTTCACCGCAGAACCGGCGCGGCGGCGGCCGGCGGCGGCGCGGCCGGCGGATCGCGGCAGCGGCGGCGGGCGGCGGCGGCGGCAGGCGCCGGGCCAACATGGTGCAGACCGGCGATCAACTTCCTCTCCCACGAAAAATATTTTCCCTCCCATATGCAATTTTGCCTTCAATTTGGGGGAAAATGATTTCCTCTTTGTGAAAAGAGGAAATTATTTTCCTCAAAACAATGAAGGATTTGGGGGTGGGGAAGGAAAATATTTTCCCACGGAAAACATTTTTCGCCCCCGAATACCGGAAAACGCGAAAAATATTTTGCGAAAAAATATTTTTCCGCAAACAAACACAACCTAAATGTAACTAACTTTTTTTTTAACAGAATAGCGCAACCGTTATATAAAATACTTGCGCACCATGACGAGCCCATGAGCTTCTCTCGTTACACTTCGAGAACCTTTCAGTTTTTTACTTAGCTCCATGGAAGACTGAATATTACACATACCGTGTGACATGGCTAACTTTAATTTAGAAAAGATTGAAATTCATCATGAAGAACGATGTGAAAGTGAAAATGCAATCTTTCTAGTATACTAAGGAAATTCTTCCAGAGATCTATATGGGCTCAGCAATGAGGCCATAGACTAGCATCTTAAGGGCCTCAACCTGAAATCCTCACCTTGTCAAAGCTCTCACCTTAAGCGGCCCGGTTGAGTGCGTTAATTCATAACCTCGCGTCGCTCGATATGGAACTAGGAGCTCTACTTACTCAACCCCATCAGAATTATTTAATGGTAGGTGATTAACGAATTGTAATGCCAAGCTTGAAATTTGCACCTCTCAGTATACGAAGTACCCAGACTTTACATGTTAGAGACAGTTCAATGATGGAAAAGAGAGCTTCTTCATTAGTTTTAGAAAGAACAAGTACATGGGCATGCTTGAAGCCAATGATCTTACCTGATATCTGGTGAGCCTAAGGTATTTGGGCCTTAGGCCCAGTAAAGATGTAAGTCCTTACCGGGCCTGTAAATGGGGCTGTTAAGCAAATGCATTGTGTCGCCTCCATTTAGTTAAAGTTTAGGGACCGCATTAAACAAATTAAACGTTTATGGATCATATTGCATATTTGGTCAAAGTTCAAAAATAATTTGTGTCCTTATCCTCCAAAATAAATATCAACTTGGACTTTCGTATGTACCCAAAAGAAGAAGAAGAGAAGGACGAAGGAGGAGGAGAAATGGCCTCTCATCCTGCTGGACAGGTTTGCTTCAGACCGGACAGAATCATGAAATTTTTACCCAAGAAAATTCTCAGTGGACCCTCTAGACAGAGAATCAAGCTCGAACAAAAGTGGGAGGCCACGACCACAAACACCGGTTTGCCTAAGTGGCATTATCACCACCAACCAGACAAGTAATCAGACCGGCCTATGGCCACCCACCACGTGTCGGCCCCTTCCCAAGCCCGCAGATTTCCATCGGATCACACCCCATAATCACCGTCAGCCAATTGCACCATCCCGACCACCTTATCCACCCTGCCACTCCTCTGCTTAACTCCTCTGTTCCACAATATAATAATCTCTCGTTCCCTCCCGCTCTGAAGAAAGCCAGAGTCCTCCTGAAATCACGCCCGCTCCCTAGCTCCAAGCAATGGCAGCAGAGATGGCTCTCCTCAAACCCATCTCGAAATTCACCAACACCCCCCCAAGATTGACCAACCCCAGAGCGCCCTCGCGCTCCAGGTTCGCCACCGTCAGAATGTCGGCCACTGCTCAGCCGACCGCCCCCAAGAAGCCCACCAAGAAGGCCAACAAGCAAGCCATCAAGGAGTCCCTCCTGACCCCGAGGTTCTACACCACCGATTTCGACGAGATGGAGCAGCTGTTCAATACCGAGATCAACAAGAACCTGAACCAGGATGAATTCGAGGCTCTGCTTCAGGAGTTCAAGACTGATTACAACCAGACCCACTTCGTGCGGAACAAGGAGTTCAAGGAGGCCGCGGATAAGATGCAGGGCCCGCTCAGGCAGATCTTCGTGGAGTTCTTGGAGAGGTCATGCACTGCTGAGTTCTCTGGGTTCCTTCTCTACAAGGAGCTGGGAAGGAGGCTCAAGGTACTTGGGTTTGGCTCTTTGCTTTTCTTGGTACAATTGGTTATCTGTTTCTGCATTCTGTTTGAAAGGATATATGAAATGGGTTCAAGCTTGTCGTATCACTTACTACTCAATACTTCAATTTTCTGCTAGCATCATTGTTTTGACTATGTAATTGGAAAAGGTGTGCTTTTGGTATTTGCATTTCGAATTTTCGTGAATGGCTGGATACATTAGGTATTCTCCGAGCTGTTTTTTGCACTGCTATTGAATATTTGTCGGAATTTCAATGCGCTTTCGACCGTGAAATAGTAAATTTCGGGGTGGAAGATAGGAACTCCGAAGTTGATTGAGAAATTTTGGACATCGATTCAGCTGACTATTTGAGGTATTTGCTAACAGAAAACCAATCCAGTGGTAGCTGAGATATTCTCTCTGATGTCCAGGGATGAAGCCAGACATGCTGGGTATGTATGATGTCACCTATTAGCTCCGTTCGCAATCCGAGTGATTATTACTATAATTTTTTTTTTGGTTGGAATTATTACTATCATATTACAAATCAAACAACATGATAAATTTACTTCGACGGCATGCAGATTCCTGAACAAAGGGTTGTCCGATTTCAACTTGGCATTGGACTTAGGTTTCCTGACAAAGGCCAGGAAATACACGTTCTTCAAGCCCAAGTTCATTTTCTACGCTACCTACTTGTCCGAGAAGATTGGATACTGGCGATATATCACGATCTACAGACATCTCAAGGAGAATCCCGAGTACCAACCTTATCCTATCTTCAAGTACTTTGAGAATTGGTGCCAGGACGAGAACCGGCACGGTGATTTCTTCTCTGCGTTGCTGAAAGCCCAACCACAGTTTCTCAATGACTGGAAGGCAAAACTGTGGTCCCGGTTCTTCTGCCTTTCGGTAATAATCAGTTCTCGTGTCCGACATATGAGTTCTGCCAAGAAAATCATTCACAGTTTCTCTGCTAATGCTGTGGAAGTCACTTGTTCTTGCCCTAACCTGCCTATGCTTTATTCCTCAGGTGTATGTGACAATGTACCTCAATGATTGCCAGCGGACTGCTTTCTATGAAGGCATTGGTCTCAACACTAAGGAATTTGACATGCATGTCATTATTGAGGTGAATGAATACATTCATATCGCTGCATTGGAAAAGTACATTTATTTTTGTTGCCGCTGCACGCTGTCCATGACTTCTAAAATTAGTACCATACTTTGAATTTATGAACTTCGAAAATTTTGATTCCTCGAATGAATAATGATTGAAAATTTCTTCATGCAGACAAACCGCACCACAGCTAGGATATTTCCTGCCGTGCCGGACGTAGAGAACCCTGAATTCAAGAGGAAGTTGGACCGGATGGTGGAAATAAACGAGAAGCTCCTTGCGGTTGGGGAAACTGAAGACATTCCGTTGGTGAAGAACTTGAAGAGGATTCCACTTATCGCCGCACTGGCCTCCGAACTCTTGGCTGCATATTTGATGCCACCGATTGAGTCTGGTTCAGTCGATTTTGCAGAATTCGAGCCTCAACTTGTGTATTAAGTCTTTTCCACAACTTTCATGTGAAATTGTTAATCCATAGTACTTGAGACAGTGTGTCATTACGAGAACTGTCACATCGAGGAACACTCGTAGAAGGAAGATTTGTTTGTACTGACATTCAGGATTAGCGCTTCTCTATGAAGAAAAAGCTTGTCCTCTCTGTGATACTGCTTCTGTTTACCATTTCATCAATTATGCTTATATTTAAACGAGTTCGACAATGCGGTTAACCTTCCTGCAGTACCATTTCCATGGTAAATCTTTAAATATATGATCATCTCCATCCCAATCACCTTCAGAGAATTATAAATATTTCTGAAGCTGTTCTTGGATTAAGTCGACATATACGGTTTTTCTTCTAGTGTGACAGTCTTAAATTGGTCTTAAACAAATTTCTTCATAAACCCATTCCGTGCCTGAATTCTCAAGCTTGTGCTTGTTAGAAGAAGAATTATCAGGATGAATGTTGAGCAAATAGCACATGGTAACTGCCCTGTTAGCACATGGTAACTGCCCTGAAAGCAGCGATCTTGCTCAAATCTTGCGGATTGAAATGTATGAGCTCACTTATTCAAACACGACCATTGAAAGTTTTAGAGAGGTGTTCAAAAACATGCGCACACGCACACGCACAAAGAGAGAGAGAGAGAGAGAGAGAGAGAGAGAGAGAGAGAGAGAGAGAGAGAGAGAGAACTTAATATTGAAGAAACGAGGTACATTGGATACACAGTTTGGGGAGAACTTGATGGAATGAGGAAAGGGCACCCATCATACATACAGATTGCCCAACGAAACCTACACCGTGAATTACAGCCTAACATGATTTACATAATTTATTGCCAATTGTCTACGAATAAAGCAAGTGCCAAGGGTAGTGTCTAATACAAGGGTTAAATAAAACCCAACATACCATGCAGATTGCCTGACTTGACAAAAGATTGGACGTTAAAGCACATCTCATGCCCTTAGGTCGACATATGCTCCTGGCATCCAATTTTAACAGATGATATCATCCAGTAGACACCGAACAAAACTCAAATGCCAATCCTCACTCTGATTTTTTTTTCTTTGCTTCCTGCTCTTTTAGCGGCCCAACAACCAGTCTAAATATCCACACTGCCAGCAGGGTGGCCTCTACCGGGGCAAGCCAGTAAACAAGCACATGTTCCTTGGTTATATGATCCCCACGAGCATAGGCCCATCCCATTGCCTACAGTATTTAACAAGTTTTAAATCCAAGTATGAGTGATTCTGAGGGAACATCCACCTTTGGTTTCCTCTAAAAAGGAAAGAAAACACTCAGAATTTTGTAAGTACTTACAGAAGCCGGGTTCATACATCCACCGGTTAGATCAGAACCGAGTATTTGCAGAGTCAGCTTGGAGACACTTGATATCCAAGTCTTTGTGTAAAAACTTCCAGGAATCTTTCTACCGAGTCCTAGTGAGATGATGACGATCACAAATGCTAAGAGTCCTTCAGTTAGTGCCCCTCGATGAACATCAACGCTCAAATGTGGTCCGAGCCAAAGGTGAGGAAAGGTCTCAATGATGAGCCTAACCCCAGTAATAGAACCGACTGCCTGGAGAAAAGAATGAACAGATTTAATGATATTTTTTTAACAGAGTGATGTCACGGCAAGAAGACACTGAAAGCGTGAAGAGAGACAGGCATCATATTCTAGATGATTATTTAATCTTATCTCCAATGGCAAGTCCCTTCACTGAAGTGCTAATAATTTCAGTTTACTTTTCAACCTATTCCATACTAAGGGGTGTCGAAGAAAAAGGATTCTGTCCAACCCATGATGCTGGCACTGCCCCTCGTTGATTATGTGCACATCTATAATTTCATCCTTCCACAAGACTTTCTCATATTCAAGTTTCAAACGTTTAATTGTAGAGACTTTGTTGAATTAAGGTGTATAGAGCCAATCAATTGACCGAGTGGATGGAACATAGTGAAAATGAGCAAACAATCAAGCAGATAATATCAATCTCGCTAAACCTGCAAATAGCAATTGCAGGCAGAACAATCAACTAGTGTTTCCATTAACAAGAAAAATTGAACAGATAGTGTTACACCTTGCTAAACTAAACTGAGCCCTCAACAGTTATCCAATTCCTAGCTAAACTGAAATCCATCCATGGAGAGTCGGTGAATAATCAGCAACTTGTGTCACTGAGAAGCGTGAAGGACTATCAGTATTCTTTTACGATGATGCCAAGCATGGTATCACTTTGTTATCGGGTGCTCTAGCTCACAATGACAAAAAAAGTTATTGCATAGGCCACGACCTATACAATACAAGCTCGACAATAAAAAAGATGACCTAAAAGGCATTGAATGCAATTGATGAATTTCGATGGCATTCAGTCTGAGATAGAATTTGGAGACAATGGGAAGTAATCCTCTCATTCCACTAATTTGTCCATAAGATTTCATGGATTGACAGAGAATGATTCAAATTGAGACAAATGAAGAATTCACAACTTGTGTCTATAACAAAATAGAGAGTTGCACTTTCGCAGTATCTTAGTCACACCTAACATTAGCATTTAGATTCTGCCAAAATTATCTTGTCGACTCATTATAACCAAGATTATCTGGCAGTTCCATCAGCTCAAAGGATTGTCATCTATAGTATAGTGGAAAACAGGGCAAGAAGATGGACAGCAATAAACCATTTAACAACAGTACAAGGAGACCTATCTGTAGAATACCATCCAGTGATGATGTCGCGACAGGTCTACTTATTTTCCTTTTGATTAATCACTAATGTGGGTTCATCCAGTGATTAGACGATATGACCCTTGAATATAAGCTGTAAAGTGTAAATGTGAGGTAGAAAGTCCAAAGCTCAAGCTGCAGTCATATTAAAACATGTTTTAGTTAAAAAAATGTGGGGAAAAGATGTATACAGTGTCTCTGATCATGAATTAATCGAATACAATTCTGCATGAGCAAACTCCAGAAAGCTACCAAAATGCGGCCTATGCAATAGCCATTCTCAATTTGTACTGGCAACTCAAACTTCAATAAGGGGCTTGATAAATGAAGGAACATATCTTTCACACAAATGAGTCAGCAGAGAGCCCTCAAGCTCAGTTAAAAAGAACCCATCAGTCAAAAACTACATCAAAGCCTCGTCAGTCCCTCAAAAGAAAATCGGATTGAACCTTCTAGGCATCCACTTCCCCAAACGAAGGCCCTAACTTTCCCCAAAACCATATTCACAAAACCCAGTTAACTGAAGCTGTTACCCATATCTTATCTAGACCATGTTCCTCAGGTCTTTTGTTAACGTGCCCTAGACAGAATTAAGCCATACTGCTGATAACAAGTCCATATTTTTATAACAGCAAATATGAGCAAACACAATACATTGAACTGATCCCATGGCAAGAACACCAACCCTTAAAAAACCTACCTTTTTCGCAACATAAAACGAATTAATTGCAACGTAACCGGTAACCCGGAAGCATTTCAGCCAAACCCAGAAGCTTTTTCACAGAACACATGCCAACCATAAAACCCATACATTTACCGGGCAAGGAAAATCAAACGAACCGGTCCGAAACAAGCCGAAACCAAAGGGGGGCAAAGCCGAAACCGAACCTGGGCAGGGATGCGAGCGCCGACGGTGAAGAGGAAGCGGCCGAAATCCCCGGAAACGCCGGGGGCCAGCACGGTGAGGGGGTTATACGACCCGCCCTTCGTGAGCTTGCCCAGGAGCGCGAAGAAGAACATGTTGGCGATGTAGAGCGAGGACTTGACGATCTCGCCCCGGAGCCCGTGCCCCAGCCCTAGAACCTCGTACACGAACATCTTGATCAGGGCCCCCGACCACACCCACATGAAGGAGATGACGAAATCGCAGACCAGCAAGCGCGTCGCCCCCATTGACGCGACCTCGCCACCTCTCTCCCTCTCTTTCTCTGATCTCTCCGGATTAGAGGGCAACGGATGCTGTTTGTTTTCCGGTTTGGAAGTTGACGACGGCCCAAAGGCAATGATTCCCCCAAAAAAAGAAAAAAGACAAAAATACTCTTAGAAAAAATAGTGGGGCCCGAGCGAACTTTCCCTGTTCCAACATGCTGTCGGGAGATGAATGGAAGTCCTTGCCTTTCCGAAATTGAGGAGGGGGAGTTATTTCGTGGAATGTCGTAGCACGTAACATATAGTGCCTACCCCCTCAAGTTGTAATCAACCCTTTTTCGTTTACTGTTTGGAATGAATTAGTAACGTCGAGCAAGCTGTTTAGGCGACACCCGTTAACAAAATCTTACATGAAAATGAGGAGGCTGTTTTGGAAGCGATGTTAGGTCAGACGCGTCAAGCGATCCGTAATGCAGAGCAACAGGGCTTCCTCAGTAGTAAACCGGCCGTGTTCAGGCGCCCCCATGTACAGGGAACACGTCGGACCCCAATGTGAGAAATGTTACAAATGCTTAGAGCTTTTTTTTATCAAGTGATGGTGAGTGTTTGAACTGATTGACGCTCATGAACAGGGTAATGAATTCTCCCCGAATTTCAACCCTTGGGCTGAACATGTAACTTCAGGAGATGATGGGTTTGTGGATCATGCGTTCAAGAAGTGTAGAAGAGGACACTAGAATCTCGATACCAGAAAGCACTCGATGTGAATTTATTGCCATCATAATGGACAGGGGTACAGTATTGCCAATTACCATCGCCATGCAAGTTCACACAACCTCAAAAGGCAGTGATCTGACTTAAGGCTTCTTCCACACAGGACAAATAAAGAAGGCCAACTTGTTTTCCCTTCCGGGTTCTTCAGGCTTTCGCTGCCTCCACAATCTCGACCTCCTCCTTGTCGAACTTCCCATTTGTCGCTGCATTCTGGACCTTCGGAGCGTCGCTGGAGTCGGTCTTCCCGACTTCAAGGTTCCTGCTGCTGTATTGGAGGAGTATTTCAGAAGTCCAACCGCGCAACTGCGCGACTGCGGTCTCATCTGATTAGCAGTCATAAATGTCAGTTCGACTTCGAGTTTCCAAGATGCTTGATAGACTAGACACTATGCTGGGATTAGTTCGTGGTTTTCTATTTGATTAGCGACGGAAGAAGTTTAAGAACAGACAATCGTACTCACCTAGCCTTGGGACGGTGTGGCCTTGGGGATGTCTGATGATCAGGGGATTGTCAAATGCGGTCGCCAGATCCTGCGACGGCAATTTCAGCCAATCCTTGTCTCCAATGAAATGGACCGACTTCGCCTTGATGGGGTCCTTGTAGGCAACATCACATATGTCTGGAGTCCTAAACTTCGATCCCGATATAGATACAAAGAACTTCAGCGGCGGGTGATCCTTCAATAACTTCCCCTGCTTCCAAGAAGATATATCAACCATATCAACCACCACTTCCCGACTGAAACTGTCGCACAAGAGTACGATAAAAATAAAAAGAGTATTGGGCTTGCCTGTGCTTGGTACCCCAGCAAAAGGGCCGAGAGTGTGGCGCCCTGAACAAACGAGAAAATTAAGTGTGAGAATGAGAGAGCCGTCTTTGCAAGATGATGCTATTAAACTTCATCAGCGCACTTTAGACCGTGACTATTGGCTAAACTACGTTTTGCATCTGGATTTATTAAATCATGAGCACCTGACCGCAAGAATCACGGCGATGGTGAAGAGTACCTGAGAGAATCCAAGTAGACCATCAAAGGGGCCTTTGCTCGTAATGTACTCGCACAGGTACTTGACACATTCTTCCAAGTTCGTGTACTCCGTGAAATCCTGATTAGTTTGAGTTCTATTAAGAATATTGTCTCCTTGGTTGACAATTGTGAATAAAAGACGGTACACTCGTAGTGGATTGGTGATTCAGAATAGACGGGCAAACTCACCTTGTCAAACTGGAACCACTCAAAGTAGGGTGGTGGAAAGATGCCTTCAATATCGGATTTTCCTCCCGCAGGAAACATCCCGTCGGGGAAATCCTGTAAGAAAGAGAGGCGACGCTTCCGGTCAGTATGTGTATGTGGCGAAAGTCTAATTGGTATCGATCTTGTGGAGTTTCTAACATGGAACTCATTTCATGGCCTGTTGTGGAATCTAAATTTTCCTTTCAAGTGCTGTAGAACTGTAGAGGATAAACAGCATCATCAGAACCCATGTTCTACACAAGAGTAGACATGGGTAATTCGTTTCCATTGCTCGATGACAGAAATGCATTATAGACACAAAAACTGCAAACAAATAGTATTTAACATGAAAAGTACTCATCAATCATGACTGCATCTACTTCTCCAGGCCATCGGGTATAAATCAATCAGCTCAATTGGGGCAGCTGATAGCCCAATTGGAGTTGCTTTCCTGAGTGTGTTAATTAGCACAACTTTCATGGCTTGAACAATCATAGAACAAATTTACAATTCTCAGTGATAGAGAAATTTAAAGGCCAAGGTAAATCTCCATATCCAAGACGGAAACATGTCATCCAAAGGCTCCTGCTCATATAATCACAGGAAGAGCTTCCCTTTTTCACTCATTTAGATAATATTTCGAGCCTATATTAGTTTCAGGGGACGGCTCATGCAGTCTTAGACTTCAATTCGGTTACTGGATACCTTATCTCCTTTTCATTTAATGACATCGCAGACAAATTCCGGTCGAAAAGTAAAATCGGCCAAATTGTTCAGTGATTGACATCTTTAGCTGTCTTCACTCGAAAAGCACAAGCAGTGGTCAACCCCTTACTTCTAAAACCATATTGATCACTCATCACTCTAGCATGGCACGTTGAGTCAAAACATATAATGATCACTTGATCACACTTGTATGTCATATTCATCGACTCAAAATGCTTCTGATCAAATTCTCAACCGAGCAACACAGTTACTATTTCCTTCTTCGACAATGACAGAAAAGAGAAGAGAGGGTTGAGGGAAGTTTTGATGTTACCATGTCAAAGTGAGAGAAAATGGAAGGATCCCATTTACTGATTTGCTTCTTCAAGAAGCCGCCACTGGTTCTGAACCCATGGAGGCAGAGTATTTTCATCTTCTTCTCCTTCTCCTGTGCAACCTCCATAGTTTTTGTTTGGTGTACTTGGCTCCCTCCTTGAATGAAAGCACTTTCACTGCAACTGAAACAGAGAACCAATGCACGCCAATTGAAGAGAGGCGAGTGGGAAGCTTGTTTTAAAGGGTTATGGCATTGACGGGTGTTTGAGACCTACCCTCCACACATCTCTAATGGCGCCAACTACCCTCCTCTCTCTGCTTTTTGGTGGTAGTTGACGCACGTGGATTCCGGTTAGGTAACTTGGACCAGATGATCAATTTTTTCTTTGAATAACCCGATCACTAGGCTTAATGCTAATGCATTCACCTGAGCCAAATTGGGACTTTCCCCATGCGATGCAAATTTCAATGAAACCAACAACTTCAAGGAGGTTGCACCAAAATGCAAACTGTAGTCCTTCTATTACCAAAATTGACCGCCCTTCTTGCAAAATAGTTGTCCTAGAAACAACAACAGTCATTGAAATTAAACCACACTTCGCTGATGGGGAAGATGTGTTGAGAAGGTTGAAATGCAGGATATGGGTCGAGACAGTGAACTGCAAATTCTCACGCGCGATGCATCGCCTGGGCGTATCTTCGACTCCCAAATAGGCATTATGAATACAGTCCGTAAAGCAACTACAAACCGAGTTTCCCATTTTTCACTTCTTGCATAGATAAGTCATAGCACCGTTCAGATGAAAGCATTTCGCGTCATCTCTTCGGACAAACTATCAGTTACCGACTTTTCAGCTCGACTTGAGTTCCTAAATAAGGGAACCAAAGGTCAAACGCAAGCCGCGATAGTAATAGAATACATATGAAACCAAATTGATCCTTATGCTAACTAAACGAAACCAGACAAACCAAGCTGACATTCATGAGCCAATCAAGGGGACATTAACAAAGACGGTACCCTACAGAAAAACATTCCATCAGCCAATCAGGATCACCAAAGAGAAGACTCCTTTCTCTCTTTCAAGGTTTAAATTCATAACATTCATAGACATTGCAAAAGGAAAAGCAAGAATCTTGTTACATTAGTTATTGCAATCCTTTCTTTTCATTCTCTCGTGGGTTTCGCTCAGATGCAGCGAATTACTTGGCCATCATCACCTTCACAAACTCCTCATAGTTTATCTGGCCATCTCCATCTACATCAGCCTCCCTAATCATCTCGTCGACCTCTTCGTCGGTGAGCTTCTCCCCGAGATTGGTCATCACATGGCGGAGCTCGGCAGCAGATATGAACCCGTTCTGATCCTTGTCGAAAACTCTGAATGCCTCTTTCAGCTCTTCTTCGGAGTCAGTGTCTTTCATCTTCCTAGCCATCAGGTTTAGGAACTCCGGGAAGTCAATAGTCCCGTTGCCATCAGCATCTACCTCATTGATCATGTCCTGAAGCTCTGCCTCAGTAGGATTCTGCCCCAGCGACCTCATGACAGTTCCAAGCTCTTTGGTGGTGATACAACCTGAAGAATGACAGGAGTGACCAATAATTTATCATCCTTAAGGAAATTGACCTTTTTAGAGTAACAATTTGACTAGGAGAAGCTATATGTCACTGACCAGGACATCTACATCTCATTTGATCCCATTTGGAATTATAATTGATGCTTATTTAATTGGTGCATTCAGTTGACTCAGACAATTCATGTCATCACATACAATAATCAAAAGACCGTCAAAGTCAGAAGGAAAAATCGTAAAAACCTCACTTCAAATGGAAGATTTATTACCTCATGAGTATGATCAATACCTCAGAACACGTAGGCTGAAAACAACAAACTAAAAAAGAAGAATATTTGAACACTTCAAGAAAAACACGAACTACTTTAGACCAAAATTCCAAGAGCTTTGCAACAAATAAGCGACACATTGATCTTATAAAAAATACCTCATGGAAAGATAATAATGCTTTGATGCTTATAAGAATATATAATTTTACACATCTTAGTATATAGTATCTACATTCTAGATGTGATAAATCCAAGAGCCTAAAAAAATTATGACCCATAGAAGATAATATTGATATATCATGATCGAGATGTTTAACATCTACTAATAGTTGTATAGAAACCAAGAATCGCATTGGCTGCTTCAGACAGTCAATGAGTTATACATCTTAAAACCCCGCTTCAACTGACTTTACAAACATGTCAAATGTCAAATAAACACAACAATGAAAGATCCTTCAATGGAATGTAACTCGAAAACAGAGCAGCTACTTTTCAAGAATGTGGAAGATCTAGCTCCAAATGCGACCAGACTGCATACCCAAATATAGAACAAAAGAAATTTCCAATGCCTTGTCTCCCTCGTGTTATCCGCAATAAATGTTGGACATAAAAAATCATACAAAACATTTCTATACTGAGAGTAGTGTACCGCGCCACTCGTTCACAAGATCCAAGCTAAAAAATTTCCAATCATTAATGTGCTACGCATCCACCATTTCTGAGACATGACAAAGATCCAGCCCCAAATGCGATCGAAGACAAACAACCCGCAATTCCTTCCGCCCCCCTTGACAGCACAAGAAGACAATCTAACAATCAGCAGGAGTGAACAGTCCGGAGATCCAGCAGCCCCCACAAAACGGAATCGACCGAAAGCCAATCACAGCATAGAATTCGCAGGTAAAAAGCCCAAAACGAAAAGACCCTTTACACCATCGCCCGCGAATCACACGCGAAAACTAGCATCGGACCAAGGACACGAACAGCGACGCAGCTAAACTCGAATCAAACGACAGGAACATCATAGACAGAGAGAGCCAGAGAGAGAGAGAGGAATCAAACCATCGCCGTCCTTGTCGAACAAGCTGAAGGCCTCCTTGAACTCGGAGATCTGATCATCGGTGAGCTGATCCGCCATTTTTCCCTCTCTCTCTCTCTCTCTCTCTCTCTCTCTCTCTCTCTCTCTCTCTCTCTCCAAAAAATCTCGTTCGGTCGACGCGGGCTCTTCCCTTCCTTCCCTTCCTTCCTTCCTCCCTATCACCCTGGTTTTCTAAATCGAAAAGCGACAGAAGAGATGGAGAGAGAGAGAGGGAGGCTTCTAGAGAGAGAAAGGCGATCGGTTTCTTCGGACAAGACGAGCGATTTATGTTCGTCGATGAGAGCGTCGATGACGCGTAGCGATGGTGTAAATTTAGCCAGAAAAGTCTTCGCGACACTATTTCGTTTTCCCCTTTTTGCCCCTCCTCTGCATTTATTTTTCCCCCTGCCAGATATTTTTATATTTTTCTCTACTTTTTTTTCTTGGCTTTTATGTTTAGCTGCTGTTGATTTTTATTTTTTTAGGAAAATGACATAAATGGACCATGAACTTTGGCTCAATATATAATATGGTCCCTGAACTTTTAATTCGTTGAATGTGATTTTTTAAACATTAGCTCAATATGTAATGTCGTCCCCGAATTTTCAATTTATTTAATGTGGTCCCTAAACTTTTGATATATGTCTAATTCAATCCCTAAACTATATGAATATGTTCAATATTGTCTCTCAAATTGAATTAATAGAATGTTAACATTGACTTTTTATATACTCCAAAGACTAATTTGAACATGTATCAAAAGTTTAGGGATTACATTGAACAAATCAAAAATTTCAAGAACAGCATTGTACATTGAGCTAAATTTCATGGATTAGGCATTAAACAAATTGAAGGTTTAGGAATCATATTGCACATTGGGTTAAAAATTCTGGAACTAACGGTATCATTGTCCCTTATTTTTTTGCCCTCTCTAGTAAAAAAATGGTTAACTTGGTTTTAAAATGGTTAAGACGAGTCCTTTTCTTTTCGTTTTCAATGAGGTTATATGGAGTTCTAGCAAAAAAAAAATGAGGTTATATGGAGATGGAAAAGTGACTGACACGGAGGTCGCGTTGGATCCCATCCTATGGAATGACAAAAAAAAAGGAAGAAAAAAGACAGCTGTTATATTTTGAAATTTGATATGCGGAATAATTTGATAAATTAATATGATGCATTTATCTAAACATCTACTTACATATTTTGGAATATATGATCTTAATATATCTAGCTTTACGCAATGAAAAATGAGATGAGAAATGGGGTGCACTGAAATCAGAAGTTTCTCTTTTTATTGATGGACTCTGTTAAATAGAAGGTGCGTATGAAAACGAAGAAATTATGAAATCTCAATCATAAGAAAGAGAAAACAAATGAGGATCCACGTATATATGATAAATAGCAAAGGAACGAGAAGAATCGCGTTTCCTTCTATTAGTAGAGGATTTTCGATATTTTCTTCTTTTTTGAAAAAAAAAACTGAACCTCAAAACCTTCGTCAAATGCCGGCGAAGGGCTCAGGGGCGAGGGCGAGCCAAGTCTGGCATTGGCGCTAGATTTGGCATTGCTGGCAACGCCACGCAAGATGAAAAATGGTGAGGGCATTTTTAGAATTTTGAAAATTTAACAGTGGCAAAATTGGAAGGAAATAATGTATTAGCATTCTGGAAATGTTAAAATCCAAAACTCTTACGGACCTATTTTGGGCTAATGGACTTTAGAGACTTTTGAAATGCAATGCATTTCCCCAAAATATCCATAAACGAATTTACCCATCATCTCAGCATTTGGCCATAAGACCTTTGGCAAAGTGGTTGCCAAATGTGGCCTGAGTATATCTTGAAGCAATTGCACCACCATCCAGCCCAAAGGTCGCGACCGATTCAAGGGGTGGTTAATGACTCTTTAGATTTTAAGTGAGGAATTGAGGGAGAGACTATCCAAAGATGAATCATAATTGTTTCCTCAAAACCAATCAATGACTATTATTAAAAAAAATAATTTTGGGAATATTTTACATTTCAAGTAAATACATAGAAATTAACCAAACACCACAGCATTTTGGCTAAAGGCCTTTAGTAAAGTGGTTGCCAAACGCAGCGAAGGTGTGCCTTGAAGCAATGGCACCACTATCGCAAGTGGGTGGCAGCCCTTTAGATTTTAAGTAGGTTTTTTTAGAGAGAGACTGTCCAAAGATGAATCATAATTGTTTCTTCAAAAGTAATGAAGGATTATTATCTAAAAATACAATTCCAAGAATAATTCAAATTTCAAGTAAATACATATAGATTGACCATCACATGTTAAAACATCGAAGACGGATTAAATTTTCGAGAGAGCATAAATAGCCCCGCTATCAACATGAAATTCCCAAATATGAAAAAAGGCAATTTATGTATAAGATTAGTTTTCCGCACGTGATGTAATTAAATAAATCGCGCAGCTTTTTCAACAAGGCACGCCATCTTCTTCGTCGTCATCTTCATCGTGCTGCCCCAAGAAACTCCCATCGGCATTCTCGTCGCTGCAGTACAGACATGGATGCTGCTCGAACCTTTGCTTCCTCAGCACCTCCCTCGCCAGCACCACCACCTCCCTGTTGCTCAGCCTCCGGTCGTTCTCCCTCAGAACAGTCTGGACCGCGTTGCTGAACGCCCCGTACGCCTTCTCTCCCTCCGCCGACGGGTTCATGTCCGCGGACGTCTCGTTGGCTTGGCACCCGCTCAGCAGGATCCCCTCGTCGGGCTTCAGCGGACCGGAGGAGGGCGCCGCTTCGAGCTGCGGGAGGCGGAACCGGAGGCTCGCCTCGGCGCCGAAGGACTCGAGCAGGTGGGTCCCGATGTCCGGGGTGGCTATGTGGGTTAGGGACGAGAGGTGCTGGAGCAGCGCTTCGAAAGGGATGTGCTTCGTCGGTGCGGCGGAGGAGAGAGATGCGTCGCCGCCGCCGCGGGGGGTGGGGGCGCTCGACGGGCCGACTTGCTCCTTCTCCTTGTCGATGAGGCCGCCGCTGTGGCAGGAGTCGGAGAAGATCGTGAAGGTCGCGCCCTTCGGAAGGCGGTTCACCAGGTGCCGGAAATCCACATCTGCAACGTATCGTTTCTTCTACGGTTATGCCAATGTTCATGGGAAAGAGTTTGTGCGATGAGACAAATTACCAGTGATGAGATTGAAGTCGCAGGGCACAATCGCTTCGTCCTTCTTGAACGGAAAGCTCGGCCTCGGCGACGGGATTCGGGTCCCGTGTCCACTGTAATGGAAGAACAGGACGTCCCCCGGCTCCGCCCGGTCGACCATCCGGCCGAGCGCCGCCCTGATGTTCGCACCAGTCGGCATCGCCGGCGAGCCGGGCGCATCCGTCAGGACCTCGATGCGGCCCTCCTCGAACCCGAACCGCCCCACGAGAGCCTCGCGCATGGCGCGCACGTCGTTGATACAGCCGCGGAGCTCGTATTGGGTGCCCTCGTAGTTGCAGCCCACGAGGACGGCCGATCTCTTCCTGCCCTTCTCCATGTTCGATACCAACTAAAGTTGACCAAGTCTATTGCCAATGCTTTTAGAATTTATGTGAATGCGCCTGGCCTCTCTTCAAGTTTTGTCAGCTTATATAGAACTTTTACACTCGGTTGCTCTATTGATTAAACTAGAGAAGATAGTTGACGTTCTGGTGCAAGTTGAATTAGGTGAAGCAAATGGTGTTGCTTGGGGATCCAATGTTTTTGCTTTCAAGCTCAGCAAGATTTCGCCACAAGCTCGACGAGAATCCACCAGGCTTTTAGGGTGCGTTTGGTAACGCTTCTGTTTCTCTATTTTTCTCGTTCTTCTGCTCCCTGAACAAAAAGAATGTAAACCGTTAGAACGCATTTTATTTTTCTATTTCCTGAATAGAAAAGTAGCCAAGAAATTAGATTTGGAGCAGAAATAAGAAGTAGAAAAAATCTACTTCTTTGTTCCTAGAAATAGAAATAGAAATAGAAAAGTCCGGTCCTCAAGTCGCGACCTCAGCTCCTCCTCCATCCTCCGTCATCTGCAAACCGTCTCAAAGCACCGGTCCGGTCCATTCTCAGCGGAAATAATAAAAAAATTATAAAAAATTAATTAAATTATAAAAAATTAAAAAATTCCAAAAATTCATAAAAATCAGAAAAATTCTCAGAAAATCCATAAAAATCAGAAAAACTTAGAAAACCCATAAAAATTTGCAAAATTCCGAAATTGACAAAATTCATAAAAATTCATAAAAAGCTTTCTGGAAAATAAAAAGGGACAAATTTCGGGAAAGTAAAAAGTTTTAATAAACTTTTCCCCAAAAAAAATAAAAATAAAAAATTCACATAATGGCTTAGAATAAATTAAAAAATTCCGAAAATTCATAAAAATTAGAAAAATTTCAGAAAAATCCCATAAAAAATTAGAAAATTAAAAAATTCCCAAAATTCATATAAATCAGAAAAATTCTCAGAAAATCCATAAAAATCAGAAAAACTCAGAAAACCCTTAAATATTTGCAAAATTCCGAAATTGAAAAAATTAAAAAAATTTCATAAAAAATTTTCGGAAAAATAAAAAGAAACAGATTTAGGGAAAGTAAAAAATTTTAATAAATTTTACCCCAAAAATATAAAAAATTCACATAATGGCTTAGAATACCTGGCACACCACTTTGAGTGAAATTTAAATTTTTGAGGTGCCCAAGTGGTATTTTTGAAGATTCCTTAGTTTAGAGATTAAAATGGGTTTTAAACCCCTAAAAAGGATTAGACAAATCAATAAATCATGCTTATTGATTTTTTTTACTTATAACTTGTACTTATAGTTAAATAAAAGATATAGATTTGAATGCAAAAAATTGGGAATAGAAATTTTGTGCAGTTACCAAACGAATTTATGTTCTTTTTTTATTCCAGGAATAGAAATTTTGTGCAGTTACCAAACACATTTCTGTTTTAGAAATAGAAATTTTGTGCAGTTAACAAACGCATTATTTTGCTCAGAAACTCTTCCAGGAAATAGAAATAGAAAAAACTATTTCTAAAAAGAAATTGTTCCTAGAAATAGAAACGTTACGCACCCTTAGCTTCTTCTCGTTATCAATAGTAATGCTTGTGCTTTGTTAGGTTCGGCCTCGGAAATTATTATCTGTAATCTTATGATGTGCTTCCCGTCGATACACGAGTTTATCGAATCGGATTTTCCATATTGAAAGACGATACTTCTGTCCAAAATGATAGTGTTTATCGATCTCAATTTCTTTTTCTTATTATCTAATCGAGACGAGACGCGCGAAATTAAAAATATATTGGAATTAGGATTGGCTGATCTCAGTGCATCCGATCTTAATTCATATGCATCGATATCTGCCTAATTTTTTTTTAAAATGTTTTGGCCGGGGGTTCTCTGCCTAACTTTCTTCCTTGGAAGCAACAGTCGTGACCAACCTTTGCCCGGTTTTAATCTTATTTTTTCGACATTCTTTCCCTTTCTCCTAAGACAACACGTTACACTTAAGAACGTATTTTATTATCAACTGTTAGATAAAGAAAGGGACGGTGATCGTAACGTTTGGTCATTATTTTTTTTTAGATTTTTAGTCCGCACGTAGGAGAAATTTTTTTTTTTTTGGTAAGTAATGGACGACGGAAATCCTAACTAAAGTGATGAAAGATTATGACATATAGGCTTCATTTATTTCACGAAAATTTGACATTCTTGAAAATTATTTTGCAAAAAATATTTTTTTGAAAAATAACAATATTTTCGAGCATTTGATTGAAATCTGAAAATGAATCAAAAATTATTTTCAGCTATTTAAAAAGAAAATTTTGATTTCATTTTCTTAAAGAGACATGCATTTTTGGTGTGATATAATGAATACCTGGTTGCCGAGGTCCTAGTCAATAGAGTAGGGGTTTTTGGACCCAGCCACTAAGGGGTGGTTCGGCTTTTGAAATGCTACTCGAGAGAATGCAAATACCTTTAGGTTAAAGCCCCTTGGGGAAATGCAAGTGGCGTTTGGTAAAAAATCACTTGTAAAGCTACTTTGGGTTAAGTAGTGTTTGGCAAATTTTTTTTTGCAAAAGGGCTTTGGGAATTATCTTTTTTATTTAAAAAAAAAACCTACTTTACCCTTCGCTGGAGCCGGCCTTCCGGCGAAGGCCGACGGCCGCCGGCGAGCTAGATCTGGCACCGGCGGCCGTTGCCCGAGGTCAGGCGATCGCCAGCAAGCCAGATTTGCCGCCGGCGGCTGTCGCTCGAGGCCAGGCGACCCTCGGCGAGGGTCGCGCGACCCAAGCGGCCGGCGCCTGAGTCGAGCGACCCAGGCGCCGCCGACCTGGGTGGTCGCGCGACTTCAGGCGGCCATCGCCTAGGTCGTGCGACCTCGCCGGCCCAATCCAGTGCCGGCCGCCCTCGCCGGTGGCCTCACGAAGAAGATGAACAGTAACAAGAGGGGCAAAATCGGAATAAGCCAAAATAAGTGAGAGTAGTTTAGGGACAAAAAATTTGGCTTCAACATTCCAAGTGCTGAACCAAACGGTTCAGCATTTTGGGAAGGGGCTTTCGAGGCTGAAAGCCTCTTCCCAAAGCTGAACCAAAGGGGGCCTAAGAACCCTAGCATGGGCATTGGGGACCCGCACCTGGATACTAATGACTTGGGCGTGGGAGGGGTGCCTATGCAAGGCTGCTAATGACTCGAGCACTGTCACCGGGATCTTGAGCACGGCCTCGAGGAATCTCATCCCAACCTCAAGGATCCCAGGCCTAGCCTTTGTGGACCCGATTCATGCCATCAAGAACTAAGGTTGAGCGCCAGTGACTTGGGCACGGGAGCTGGGTACTTGCGCATGACCACTGCCAACCAATGCAAGGGCATCGAGGTCCTAGACTCAGTCTCGAGAGACCCAAGCCCTAACTTGGGCATGGGAGCTGGGTACTTGAGCATGACTGCCGGGGACATTGGTATGGGCATCGGGGTCCCCACATGGTCGCGGGGGACTCGGGCACACACACCGTAGCCTGGTCTTTGTTAACATAGACCTAAATGCCGATGACTTGGATATGAGAGCTGGGTACCTGCGCATGGCCGTCCGGACCCTAGTGCGGGCATCGTGGTCCTAGGCTCGACCTCAAGGGACCTCGGTCCAACCGTTGAGGAATCCGAACTGGCCTTGATGAATTCAGGCTCGAGCGCCGGTGACTTGAGTGCGGAAGCCAAGTACCTGGGCATAGTTGCCGGAGACCCAGGCACAAGCCCCCTAGTTCTGAGCCCGACCTCTATGGACCGAAACTCGGCAATCAATAGACTTGAAACTAGCAATCGATAAACCTAGGCCTGAGTGCCAAGGACTTAGGTAGGGAAGCCAAGTACTAGAGTGGGCCGTCGAACGAGGGTATGGGCATCAAGGTCCCGAGCATGAATGCTAGGGATCGACCCAGCTTCTTTGGACCTTGGCCTATGCAACGGTGACTTAGGTGCAAGAGATGGGGACCATGCACGATTGTCGATGTCTTAAGCCCGACCTTTATGGACCCAAGCCCAACTGTTGTGAAAACCGGTCTTGGCCTCAATATAATCGGCCTCAGTTCTCGGTGGCATGACAAGAAAATTAAGGTGTGTTTAGTAATCATTTTGTTCCCGAAAACAATTTCTGCTCAGAAATGATTTTCTTTTATTCTATTCCCGGAAACAATTTCTAAACATTTGAAAGTGTTTGGTAACTACTCAAAATTTCTATTCCCGGAATAGAAAAAGAACAAAAATTCGTTTGGTAATAATACAAAATTTCTTTTTATTAACTACATTTTAATAATATTTTGAATTTCTTAATATTTCTTTTTTCTTTTTTTTTTCTTCTTCTTCCCCTTTCTTGGCCCATGGCTAGGTCACCGGCGCCGGCGACCGGCCACAGGCTAGGGCCGGCGAGGGCGTCGCGGCCCTTGCCAGATCTATCGAGGGCAGGACCCTCACCGATGCCCTCGCCAGATCGGGCGAGGGCAACGATGAGGGTCGCCCAGGTCGCGAGCCGCCCTCGCCGGATTTGGCGAGGGCGACCCTCGCCGCCGCCCTCACCAGATCCGGCGATGGCCGCGATGCCCTAGCCTGTGGTCGGCGATCGGCCACAGGCCAAGAAAAATGAAGAAGACCAATCAACAAGAAGAAGAAGAACAAATTTTCTTTTCCATTTCCAATTCTTGTTCCCAGAATCAAGAATAAACTTATTTTTTATTATTGATTCTGTTCCAAAACTGATTTTGAGAACAAATTTGTGCCCGAGAACAAAAAATTTACCAAACAGATTTCTATTCTTTTTTTGTTTCAGAGAATAAAAGAATAGAATCGGGTACTATTTGACAGGTTACCAAGGGCCTGTTTGGCAACTTGCCAAATAGTGATTGATTCTGTTCTTTTGTTCCCAGAATCAGTTTGGGAACAGAAATCCGTTTGTTAAATTTTTTGTGTCCGGGCACAATTTTGCAAAAAATTGTGCCCAGAATCAGTTTTGGAACAGGAATAAAATAAAAGTAACTTCTTGATTCTGGAACAATTTTTTCAGAACTGATTCTTCTTGATTTTTTTCTTTTTTTGGTTGTTATTGTTCTTCGGCCCCACCACCCGCTGGCCGCCGGCCACAGGCCAGGGCCGGCGAGGGGCGGCTCGCGGCCTCGCCCAGCCAAGGCGAAGCCGACCTCGTTGTCGCCATCGGTGAGGGCGGCGGCGAGGGCCGCGACGCCCTCGCCGGCCTTGGCCTATGGCCGATCGCCGGCGCCGGCGGCCAGCCATGGCCAAGAAAGGAAGGGGAAAGAAAGAGAAAAAAAAGAAAAAAAGAAAAAAAGAAAAAAATTAAAAATATTATTAATAAAAAGAAATTTTGTGTAATTACCAAACGCATTTCTGTTCTTTTTTTATTCTAAGAACAAAAATTTTGGCCAGTTACCAAACGCTTTCAAATGTTTAGAAATTGTTTCCGGGCACAGAATAAAAAATAATCATTTCTGTCTAGAATCAGATTCTGGACACAGAATGGTTGCCATGCGCAGCCCAAACAGCCCCTTATTTTACTTCACGTCCTTATTCGAGATATTTCCTCTATTTTATTAGCAAAATAGAAATTTGCGTTAAATTATTTAATTATCACTGCCCAACAAATTTGTAAAAAATTCCTCATTTCTCGTCAAGCCAATCACTTCGCCCACCGTTGCTCTGCGACGTGAAGAAGAAGAGCGGTATTGCCGAGCTGAACGAGCACAGTTTGTTCGTCTCAGCTTCGCGCAAGGGGCGACGACCGCCGGAAGAGAGCAAATCCGAGGGAGGAAATGCTGAGGCGTTCGACGGGAAGCGTCCGCGCGGTACTGAAGGCCGTCCAGCTCGCCAGGAGCTTCGCCTCCGCGGAGACGGCGGACTGCGTGGTGATCGGGGCGGGCGTCGTCGGGCTGGCCGTCGCGCGGCGGCTCGCCCTTGGCGGCCGCGACGTCCTGGTGCTCGAGTCGGCGCCGACCTTCGGGACCGGCACGAGCTCTCGCAACAGCGAGGTCGTCCACGCCGGCATATACTACCCTCCCGATTCTCTCAAGGTCGAGTGATCTCTTCTCTCTGACCGGCGGTTTTCGGATCGCTGGAGTTGTAACGGCTTGTCAGCGCGATCGAGTGATGTGTTAGGCCGAGCGTGTGATTTTCAGTCAGAGAGTAGTAGTGTCTCGTAGTAGATTTTGAGGTAGTCTGCATTTCTCCTGTGAGTGATTGTTTGTAATGGAAAGGTTGTTCGATTGTCGGTCATATGCTCTGTGAAATTCGGAGTGGGGATATGAAATGCGCGCGATTTTTCAGGCGGCGTTTTGCGTGAGGGGAAGGGAGTTGCTGTACCAGTACTGCTCCGAGCGTGGAATCCCCCATAAGCAGATTGGGAAGCTCATAGTTGCTACCGGGCCTTTGGAGGTTCCGAAGCTGAGCAATTTGATGAGCCATGGAGCTCGTAATGGGGTTGATGGTTTGAGGATGATGGATGGTCCTGAAGCCATGAGGATGGAACCTGAGCTGCAGTGTTTGAAGGCCTTGTTTTCCCCTGTTTCTGGCATTGTCGACTCGCATTCGTTGATGCTGTCGCTAGTGGTAAGCGATCAAGCTTTGTGCTTTGGAAATATCGTCTTAGCTTCTTTTCTATAGGTAGTTTCATAGCTACATATTGACAGGTGGATCACCCGAATGTGAGTCCAGGGAGAAGCCGAAAGTCACAGAGCGACATTCTCTTACAATACTACTGTGGTTGGCGGTCATCTTGAAGGCAATTCTATGCACCTCCATGTTTGTGAGACCAAAAATCTTGATGAACATGGGAATGCACAGTTTCCTCTCCAACCTGAACTTGTACTAGTTCCAAAGGTTGTTGTCAACTCGGCGGGCTTAAGCGCTCCTCTCCTAGCAAAGAGATTTCGTGGTCTTAATGGTCAAGTAATTCCTCCAGCGTATTTTGCTCGCGGTCACTACTTTGCCCTTGTGAACACTAAGAACCCCACATTCCAGCATTTGATATATCCCATTCCTGAGGATGGTGGCCTTGGTGTGCACGTAACTCTTGATTTGAATGGTCAAGTAAAGTTTGGCCCAGATGTTGAATGGATTAATGGTGTGGATGATGTTTCAAGCTTCCTAAATAGGTACTTATTCCGATTCAGTATACTTGGTCTGAGTAGATACATCATTTGTCTTCTATGCTTCTATTGAGTGGTGTAAAATTAGTGAGTGAATCCCATGTCATGCTTGAACAAAGTTGTAATTGAAAAATCCTGTGGGGATCTGATGAGTGAAAGCCAAAAACTTTTCCCCCTTAGTAATTTGTGACAAGCACATAATAACTGGTCTTTTTTGGCAAGAAGCACATGGTGACTGGTTGACTTGCAATTTTCAGTCTCAATTAGAGTGAAGTTTTCCCATGTCTTCTTGAGCATGCATTAACTATTGAATATCAGCAAACAAAATTTTTAGATTTCAACCTTGTATCAGTTTACCAAGTTTGGGTTATTTACTTAGTAATGCTTATCGGACTATGAAATACCAATATAGCAGATAACATGATCATCTAATCAAAATATAAGCATCTGTTCTTTTTAATTTTTCATTAATAGCTGTGTCTCCCATTGTAAATAATTGCCAAAGGTCAATTCAGGTTTGACTATTCCGTATCTGCATGCCGCGCAGAGAGATTTTATCCGGCCATCAGAAAGTACTACCCTAACCTCAAGGATGGTTCTTTGGAGCCAGGTTATTCAGGGATTCGGCCAAAACTTTCAGCTCCTCGACAGCCTACCAGTGATTTTGTGGTACAGGTTGGATCTCAGCTCTCCCTTCTTAACAGAATGTGTCAGGTCAATAGAATCTAAAAATTTATTTCCAAAATCATGACTTTCTTTACTTTGTCTTTCATTATGCATTATTCCAACAGTTGGTTTTCTTTCCCTTAAAGGAACTATGGTGAACACCAGTTGGGAAAGCTCTGATTAATTGAACATTATCTTTTCTCATTGCTTTTGTGCACGGGATGCTAGGTGAAGTCTTCTACCTTGCAAGAAGGTTGTAATCAATTTGAGATAAATCAGGCCTGGTTTATCAGGAAGTGCAATACCAGCATTGACTGGTTTTGTTAGACCGTAACAGTAGGATAAATTTGTTTTATATTAATGCTGGGTAGAGTAAAATCAGTCTAATATGATGTGACAAACTACAATTAATCATTTAAACAAGTATGTCATATTCAACACCCGATGGGTGTCTGCAGCATTACTTAGTACACTAAATTCGTAAAATAGTTTTAATGTACTTAGCATGATTCTTTATCTTACCTAGTCCTAACACCGTGAAGTTTCTTCGGTATCTCTGTTTCATGCACTTATTTCCAAGCTTAATTCTTGCAACATCATTAGGAAACAGGAACATATGCATGTACACATTTCTACATCTTAATGATGTGAGATAAGAGTACATAGAGTATTGGAGTTCATAGAGTACATAGAGTATCGGTGCATTGTCGAGTCACGAGACTGTAGACTCCCTGTTCATAGAGTACATCCATTAATTTACCTACTACCTAATATGGTCAGATTGATTGTCAAGTGCTCTGTGTTGAATTGGGTTTGACATGTTTTAGAAACTGCAAGACAAAACCAGCATGAAATATTGCAAAGATCTCTGTCTCCTTTCATTACATTTACTGCTGAAGCAGAGAGACGACCTTCATTTGTTGCTTCTATAGAGTCCTGGATTTCATGGATTGTGCATCCTCTTTCTTCAAGTTCAATGCTGTAATTTCTTCTCCTTCGCCTATTAGCGTGCAGACAGCCAGCATACATGTGTGCTTAATCTTCCTCTTGGTTATCGAGAAACTATGCAATACGACAATATACATTATTGACCAGCGGATTTCATTTCATTTTTAAGGCTTTCCATCGTCAAGGTTACTTGAAAGACTCAAGGGACAGCATGGTCGATGACAATTGTATCCTGATTACGTTTTTGCAGGGGGAGGAGATTCACGGGATCCCTGGACTGGTTAATCTCTTTGGAATCGAGTCGCCTGGTTTGACTTCAAGCATGGCGATAGCAGAACATATTGTTGCCAAGTTCTTGACGTGATAATGAAGGTGTGGAAGATGAGATGCTGGTCATAGAAGTTAGCCGCTCCAGCCATTGCGGCTTTTGAACCTTCAATCTCGACTTAGTTTATGTGGGAATAGTGAATATCTGCAGATTTTGTAAGCCTGTATCGCTATAGTCGAGCTTATTGGAGATTGTGATGGGCCATGCTCGATGTGTTTTATAATGGATCATGTTCTAGAGTAAAGAAAAGTATGTTACAAGTAGCCACCAAGTTCAATACGACCAAGCGTGGACGATCTTAGAATAAACTAGTAGGATACCTGAGTTACAATCCAAGTCTGGTTGGTTAAGTTTCTTTCGCTTTCTTTCAAAATTTTGCAAACCCCAAAAAGAACTTCAGTTTTCACGAGTTATAATTACTGCCAAATGGCTCATGCATATAACATTTGGATACTTTTACAGAATTCTGATGTTCAGCATGAGTAAGAGTCAAATTTGAAATGCAACATGAGTGAAGTGCAAAATCAAGAAGCTCCATAGGAATTAGAACTTCTCGAAACAGTCTTTCAAATAAATCCACTTCTTGTTTATGCACTCCATAAAATACCGGCACAACGGCATGACGTTTAAAAGATGACAGCTTCATATATTCTTCCCACAACGAGATAGAGACAAAAATAGACCAACTTATGTTCAACAAATTGTGTTAGCGTTACACGAACTGCAACACAAATTTTACATCAAATATCATGCATCAAAAAATTGTGATCCCAGTTCACAGCGGTTCATCTGCCACCTGAATCGTCATCCAAACAGGTAAGTTTTGCAGATGAGATTTGACTGTATATGAGAACCATTGCTTGCGCAAAAGAGATGCGTCGAGCTCAGATAGAAACTGTAATCATCGCTTCCGTTCCAACCGCCATTTGTATACTGGTTTTGAGGAGGGGCAGACAATCTCAGCTTCACGAAGTTTTCGCTTCTTGCCCTTCTTCTGCTCATGGATAAAAGCTTTATTAGAAAATATCCAAACAGACCAACTGAAAAGTCGAAAGTCAGTGAAGCCTACCTGCAATTCCTTCTGCAGCGACATATCCATGTATATCTTCTCCAAATCATTTACTCTACTTTTTCTTGCCTCTAGTTCTCTGTATGAAGCAGCTGTTTTCCTGCACAATGTGTCGATTTTAGGCTGTCTACTCCACCAAGAGCACAATCAAACAGATTGAAGTTGATAGGCTGACAGAACCACCAAAACATTCTGTTTAAATAATGCCAGACAGCTTTCTTTATATCGGTCTGGAACAGCGAGCGAAACAAAAAAAAAAAAAACAACCAAGCAGTTAAGGAAAAGGTCCACAACAGCATCAGTATCGACACCTGAAAAGTAACAGATACGGCGGAAGTGGATGGTGACATGATCAACAATTTGATGCCCAAATGAGCGGCAAGTGACATTAAAGTCTTTCTAAGTCGAGCAAAAATCTAGATTTCTATTCTCCATAAGAAGATAATCTTTGCTTAACTCAATTACACTGTTCCTATCATACATTCTCCCTCGACGCCTGACCATGACAGCGACTTCCAACTTCTGCGCACTTGAAACAGGCCTTATGAAGATATGCTCAACTGCCAACCAACAAACAAGCCATATGATCTTACCTTTTGATATTATCAGGAATATCATTGAAAGATATTTTCCCATTCTTGGAAGACGATGATTGCATCTCTTTTGCCTCCTCCCTGCAGACATCATGACAAACAAATGAGATAATAAAATATACTGGCTCAAGGCTTAAGCGAGGGCACAAAACAAAAAAGAGTGCACATCAACTAGGATGGAACTAAACAAGGGCCAAGAACTTTCAAGGTAGTGAGCAGCCCAATAACAATGCAACCAGCACATCATCCTGAGGTATCCCTTGGAGAAACATTTTACAAGTCGAGAATATATTGTAACCTTTTTAAGGGGATAAAATCATATTGATCTCAATTCACACTCAACTCATTGGCTATTAATAGTTCAGTAGAACATGGCATACTTTCAATGGCCTCAAACGAAAATTTTCATATGCCAAATTTGTCAGAAAGTGAGATTGGTTGGTCGAGAAAGCACAAGCACAATGCTAGCATGTCAAACTTTCAGCGAAGTAACCAGTATCTCTGTTGTCCAGCAGAGGGGAAATAAAACTCCAGTAACTAGAACTACCAGCAGTCAGTAGGAAACTAATTAAAAACAAAGATAAGGAGGAACAGACCTGTCTTCCGCGTAGTAAACATGATTGCTCGATGGGCGATCATCGAGAGAATGCAGCATGGCGGTTAGCTTTTCGATTTTCTGCAATAGACAGCAGAATTCATACAGCATCAATATCTCTCAAGAGTGTCATTCCGGCAACAAATTTCGACGAGAAACAGCTCAAACAAGCACTACCTTTTTCTCACTCTGCACTTTCTGAAGAATATATCCAATGTCCTGCGTCTTCATCAACATGAGTTCTTCATGGGTGTACTTATTTGCCTGGCTCCTACCCCCACACGCCAAACTACAGAGTCAGAGATACGATCGAATCGAAAACACGCACACGAAGAGAAGAGGGCATGAATTCAATCATCTTACTCCGGCCTGTGAACTCCATCGACGGTCTTGGTTTTGACCATCTTGAAGTAGAACTCATCTGGGTTCCTGAAAGCCGCCTTCTCCTTGAGCTTCCGCAGGGCCTCCTCCTTCTTGTGGAAGGCTCTCGCCCGGACGACATAGTCCTTGTGCTTCTCGAGGAGCCCGAACTTCTTCCGCGACTGCCTGCCATGCGCACCGCAAAAATTCACCATCCTCAGAAGACAGGATTCAGCAAAAAAAAAAAACCCACCGTCGAACGACATGGAAGAATGGAGAAAAAAAAAAAGCTCCCTTTTTGGGACTTACGGCTGAGCTCGTTCCTTGTGAGCGCGCCGACTGATCGCGTTCCTCAGGGAAGACATTCTCCCTCCAACGCGCGATAGGACGCTGCTGGGTGTTACAGACGCAGGGCGGCGGCGGCGAAGAAAGGCTTCGCTGCAAGAGGGAAAGAGCCCCGACCGATTCCTTAATGGTTCTGCTAAACCCCTATTCCAAAACCTCGAAGAACAGCATCAGCAATTCTTCGACCTAACCCTCAAAATTTTCTCTTCTTTTCCCGGAAAATCTTTCTCAGGAACAGGGTGATCTTGTCCTTGTCATGGGAATTGTTGGGTACCGGGCTTAGGCGCGTTTGATAACGCTTCTGTTTCTCTATTTTTCTCGTTTACATTCTCGTTCTAGGAGCAAAAAAGAACGTAAATCCGTTCAGTAACGCGTTTTATTTTTACATTTCCTGGAATAGAAAAGTACTGCCAAATAGATTTGGAGGCGGAAATAAGAAGTAGAAAAAATCTACTTCTTTATTCCCGAAATAGAAATAGAAGGTCCGATTATCAAGCCGCGACCTCGCTTCTCCTCCATCCTCCGTCATGCAAACCGTCTCAAAGCACCGGTCCGGTCCATTCTCGGTAGAAATAATAATAAAAATTTAAAAATTAATTAAATTATAAAAAATTTAAAAATTCCAAAAACCCATAAAAATTTGCAAATTTCCGAAATTGAAAAAATTTTAAAAAAATTCATAAAAAGCTTTCTGGAAAATAAAAAGAGACAAATTTCGGGAAAGTAAAAAGTTTTAATAAACTTTTCCCCAAAAAAAATCAAAAATAAAAAATTCACATAATGGCTTAGAATAAATTAAAAAAATTCCGAAAATTCATAAAAATTAGAAAAATTTCTGAAAAATCCCATAAAAAATTAGAAAATTATCCCAAAATTCATATAAATCAGAAAAATTCTCAGAAAATCCATAAAAATCAGAAAAACTCAGAAAATGAATAAAAATTTGCAAAATTCCGAAATTGAAAAAATTAAAAAAAATTCATAAAAAGCTTTCTGGAAAATAAAAAGAGACAAATTTCAGGAAAGTAAAAAGTTTTAATAAACTTTTCCCCAAAAAAAATCAAAAATAAAAAATTCACATAATGGCTTAGAATAAATTAAAAAATTCCGAAAATTCATAAAAATTAGAAAAATTTCAGAAAAATCCATAAAAAATTAGAAAATTATCCCAAAATTCATATAAATCAGAAAATTCTCAGAAAATCCATAAAAATCAGAAAAACTCAGAAAACCCTTAAATATTTGCAAAATTCCGAAATTGAAAAAATTAAAAAAAATTCATAAAAAAATTTCGGAAAAATAAAAAGAAACAGATTTAGGGAAAGTAAAAATTTTTAATAAATTTTACCCCAAAAAAATATAAAAAAATTCACAAAATGGCTTAAAATACCGTGGCACCCACTTTGAGTGAAATTTAAATTTTGAGGTGCCCAAGTGGTATTTTTGAAGATTCGTTAGTTTAGGGATTAAAAGGGATTTTAAACCCCTAAAAAGGATTAGACAAACCAATAAACCATGCTTATTGATTTTTTTCACTTATAACTTGTACTTATAATTAAATAAAAGATATAGATTTGAATGCAAAAAATTGGGAATAGAAATTTTGTACGCTTACAAACGCATTTGTTCTTTTTCTATTCGGAATAGAAATTTTGTGCGATTACAAACACATTTTCGTTCTAGAAATAGAAATTTTGTGCACTTACCAAACGCATTATTTTGCTCGAAACTCTTCCGGAAATAGAAATAGAAAAAACTATTTCGAAAAGAAATTGTTCCCAGAAATAAACGTTACCATACGCACCCTTAGTGCCGTTTGGTAACGTGCTAAACAGTGAAAATTTCTGTTTTTTTGTTCCCGAAAATAGTTTAGGAACAGAAATGCGTTTGGTAAACTTTTTGTTCCCGGGTACATTTTTGCAAAAATTTGTGCCCGAAACGATTTTGGAAGAGAAACAAGAAGTAAAAAAAGTTGCTTTTGCGCACAATTTTGAGAATGAGTTTTTTTCTTTTTTTTTTTTTCTTTTTTCTTTTCTTCTTTGTGTTGTTCTTCCTGGTGGTGGCCTGGCGCGACCGGCCGTAGCCTGTGGCGACGAGGGCGTCACGGCCCTCGCCGCGTGAAGGCGAGGGTGAGGGCTGGACCCTCGCCGCCTGGGCGAGGCGGCTCGCCGTCGCGACCCACGGCGAAGCCAACCTCGTCGTCGCGACCGACGGCGAGGCTCGGCCTCGCCTGATCTGGGCGAGGCCGGCGGTGAGGCAGGCGGCAGCGAGGGCCGCGACGCCCTGGCCTGTGGCCGGTCGAAGGGTAGAAAGAAAAAAAAAAAATTAAACAATTTAAAATATTATTAATAAAAAGAAATTTTGTGTAGTTACCAAACGTATTTCTGTTCTTTTCTATCCCAGGAATAGAAATTTTGGATAGTTACCAAATGCCTTCAAATGCTTAGAAATTGTTTCCGGGTACAGAATCAAAAATAATCATTTCTGAGTAGAAATAGTTCCCGGGCACAGAATGATTGTCATGCGCACCCTTAGCGTCCTCGAAGGCCAAGCCCAAGCCTTCAGGCCCAAAATTTCTCTGGCCCACGTATATCTATCTATCTATCTATCTATCTCTACTTGGGCTAAGATCGATCTGTCTCGTATCTCCTCGTTAGCCCGCTAGACACAAGCCGTCATCTCGAAACGTCAATCACATGAGCACATGACGAGATCGATCTGTTACATCAAGTGAGATTCACGATGAGATGACACGCGTGCGTGTGTATATATGTATATTCCTACATGGGCTAAGATTGATATGTCTCGTATTTCCTCGTTAGCCCACTAGACATGAGCTGTCATCTAGAAACATCGAGTGCGCGAGCACACGACGCACTCGATCCGTTACATCAAGTGGGATTCACGACGAGATGATCTGTGCAATGCCGCGCTGATCGACTCTTTCTTCAACTACGAATTGTGATCAGGAACAAAGATGCTTGTGCCCTTCTCGCTAAACTTGAATTTATGGGAAAGACAAACATTTTCATATAATCCGGAGACTAAATTAAACACGCACCAAAAGTCTATAAATCGCATCGAACAAATTAAAAGCTAAGGGACGGCATTGCACATTGGGTTAAAGCTCATGGACTACATTGAACGAATTAAAGTTCAGAAACCACGTTATATATTTGGTCAAACTCATGCTTTACTTCAATTTCGCAGTGCTCAAACACAATGCCCTCCTGGAACTTTGGAAAGGCTTGCCCTTGAATATAGGGGTGATCAGAATTTCTTGACGAACAACCAATTATTGGAGACTTTAAGCAACCTTTGTGGTTCATGATGCATAAATCTTCTTGTGTCATTGATTAAAGATACCTAACAAGCATCTGAAAGACAGACTGTTGAACATAACCCTGATATATTCTCTCCTTTGAGTTCTTTAACAAGTGTTCCTTCTGTTCTTAAAGTGCACTTAGCAACGCAAGCAGAGCACCACTGCATTTAACATTAGCGAAAGTATAAAGCATGCGGAGAGGAGACGTACCCAACCAAAAAAGCAGACAAAAAGTGAAGTTTGGGGCCACTTTTTCCCTTTCAACTTAAAGTAGTTAAACATTCCATCACATTCTATTGTTAAACGTGCGGGTACCTTAGTGCATAATACATGAGGAATGGAGAGCAAGTTGGCTGATATAAAAGCCTGGCCAAAACAAGTTGCCTGGTCTAAAAAGATGGTGATCTTTATCTGCTCACCTCATGAAGCACTAACACATTATAGGTTTTCTTTTCTTGTGGCATCACTGTATCTATTAAACTAACAAATGTGCGTCGTAAAGACTAATGAATCTTGCTCCATGGACCATCAAATGATATGATGGAATTAGATGCCTCGCATGCAAGCTAGTCTGGCATAAATTCTAGAGAAACATGATGTTTATAGTCCCGATTTGCACAAAGAGAACCTTACAGGAAGTTCTTTGGTGTAAAAGAGGCAATGAAACAGAAAAAAAAGGGACAGAAAAGAGGACTTGAAAAGATGGTTTGGGAGTTGGGGAAGAAGAACAGTTGACCTCACAAATTGGTAAAGACCAGTAGCACCAAATCGTTTCAAGTGGAAACCATTCAATGCATTAGTATTGGGAAAAAAAAAAGAAATTGAAGAAGTGACACAGACAAGATTCCTCCGAGAGTTGGGAAAATGGGGTTGTGTAGCCTTCGGAAACAAGGAAGTTGTGGGCGTGCAATCAGTAGATGTGAACTGCAACAACAAAACTGCGCTCCACACAACACTCAAATGTGGTGAGTTGTCAAAATGGGCGCAGAACTTGTTCGGCGAAGCTTACCCTTGGGCTCAGCAGGCGGCTCGCATGGAAACATTTTCTCAACATCCTGTCATGGGTAATTCGATTCAACTGCTAGTTATGCAGAAAAAGGCAGTCGAAGAAGCAAAAAGATCGAAATAGCAAATATTAAGTGCAGCATTGCATGAATAAGAGAATAGTGCTTCATTCTCTTACTGCTAGAGAAGCATAAAAACTTAACGGAAATCACGTTCAGCATGCCAAACTTACTCTTACTACAAGCAGAATCTATTCAAACCTCTAAAATACGGTCATAAAGACATTGACTTTCTAAATCTTTGCCATATAGGCATTTGAACATGTCGTTTTATTACTGTATTTTGGACTCGCAAATCTTTCGTTGCATGATATATGATGATATTTTATACTACATTCTATCATTATGCATGGACAAGGACATCTATCTAAGCCAACCTCTAAACCAGCACATAATTAGACAGTGTACTACCAATTACCGAAGTACAAGTAGTAAAATGGGCAAAACATTGCCGTAGTATGTGATATCGCGGAATGTTCGCTTGCACAAATGTAAAATTGTGCTCGAAGAAGTCGATGCCTTCGACTTATCTTTGGAACCTTACCGAGTAAGTAGAGTCAACATTAAATTCCTATATGGGAGGTTGTCGCTTTGCAAGGGAATTGTATAATAGAATCCCATCCTCAATGAAATCTGGAATTTAGTATTGCGTAATGACTCACCTCATTCATATCACATCAGAAATGATCCTTGGAAAGTAGAAGTAAAAAGGGTTCTTGCTAATCAGAACCACCTACATATTCAGGGTCTACCATGATGTCCCATGCTATCTTCTTATAACATTAAGAGGCCAAACGAGATGCTTAAATTTCCTAAAATGCATTGGGCAACAACTCAGGTAAGAGTTTAAGATACAATTGTACAACTGACTCGAACGGTATCTTGAATGAACAATAATAGCAGAAAGTCTTGCAGGTAAAATATTCCTTGTTTCACCGAATTGGAATAACATTCAAGACGTCAAGATTCACTGATGACCTCTAACTTACATTTACTTTATCGTATGCAACTCAATTATAGCATGCGGCAGGATAGCCATGAAGATGTCATATTCACGGGCAAAACATAATGCAACTTACCCTCTGCCGACCAAGCCTCGCATTCTCCTCCTCCAATCGCATGACCTTGTGCTCCAGCTCATGGGTATATGCCTGCCCAACCAATGTTCCACTTAGCATCATGACTTAGACAACGAAAGATACAAAAAATTCCCCATTGGGATATGGAAATCTATCAGACAATGACCTGTCTCCTAGCTCGTGATCGAGCAGCCGATTCTCTGTTCTTAATCATCCTTTTCCTTCTCCTTTCTACAGTCTTCTCCACAACATCTCTGGGCGTGACTGTATTCCGCCCTGGTGACTGAACATCCGAAAGTGCACCAATCAACGTGGAGGGGGACATAGAAATTTGGGTATCCGGGTAGACTGCATCCATGGCAGGATGAGTGCCGATGGGAATCCGTGGCTGAACCATGTGGTCACCTGCTGCTAGGCCAGTCATGACATTCTGCGGCTGGGGGATGGAGGGGAGATGGTACTGCATCCACTGGATACATTGAGGGATATTGCTCTTTGGGGCCGGAGCCGAATCGAGCCCTGAAATCAGACTACCATTTTGGCCGACCAGAGGAAGTTCCGCCATAACCCCTGCCTTCAACAAAAAGTCTTCTAATGTGATTTCCCCAAATGTGGGCGCTCTCTCTTCTTCGCCCATGCTCTCATTGCGAAGATGATTCTCAACGCCGTTTTTCTTCTTCTTGTGAATGTCTTTCCACACCTCCTTGACTGTTTTCTTGCAGAGATCCTTAGAAAGCGGCTGAACGCCGGCTGCACCGGGTGTTGGGCCCAGATTGGCTTCAGCGCTCCGCACACTCTCGAGAAGCTCATCGAGGTTCATGCTGCCAAGTGGTTTCCCCAAGTGGCCGAGATGGTTTTGGACCTCATCTAGAGTGAGTCCATACAGAGACCCTTGGCGGGCCAGTATCCGCGATTCGGCTACTTGTACCGCACCACTGCCGCCACCACCTTGAGACCCCATTCTCTTCACTAGTAGCCTATTGCTTCATTCTAGGTGCCTACTAAATCGTCAATCTCTGAACACCCCCACTGAAAGATTAACGTATGTCCAGCTCAAAATCACACATTACCAAAGTACTGAACTTAAAGTTTCGATTTTTTTTTTTTTGTAAGGTAAAGTTTCGATTTTTTAGTTCTTGATAAAGGTCAGAAACTGTTATCTGCAGAAATCAAAATCCTATGATGCAAGTGACAGAAACACATCCTTCAGTCTACTCTAATCAATGACACATCCTCAGTACATATATAAAATCCATCCACAGCAAAGATCTTGTCGTCGAGAAGCAAGAACAAAGTACATGCAGAAGAATGTCCCAGAAAAGGAAACTTACCCAGAATGTCAACACCTGCTAATCATGCATGAAGTACTCATGTACTTCACTTCGGTAAGAAACAAGAACCTGGACAAACGATCATCATGCAGGAACTGGAGCAAAATAGATTGGAAAGAACGAAAAGAAGAAAAGAAAGGAAACGAACCCACATTCTCCGAGAGAAGAGCGAGTCTCGAATCACCACCACCCAAAAAAAATTGAAACTTTGGAATTTTGGAAACACACAAACAAAAGAAGGGAGAACAAAAAAAAAATCACCTGCAAAGGGCGGAGCTTTCTTGGCTATTTACTTGCTTGCCACAGGATCCGATCTGAATCTAAAAGGTGGCATTTACTGAAGAAATACAGGGATACACTGTGTTTGTGTGTGGTTTTTCAGGAGGTATTAAAGAACAAATGGAGGATAAAGAATGCTTAAAGATCCGCATACATTCTCATCCCACCATTCCTTCTTCTTTTTAACTGACTCTGATTGTGGGTGCCTTCCTTCATTACTTTATTCAAAGGTTTTTCCCACGACATAGGTTGGCGAGCAATTCTGTCCCAAGCATGATAGTTTAATGAGCAGTTCCTTGTAGAGGCATTGTTTAAGGAACTGCCATTGGTTCCAAGTACTGTCTCCAATGTCTCTTCCCTGTTTAGGAACATACTAAAATGTTAGTACAGATAGAAAGATATATGGTTTTTTTTTTTTTTGTATTTTTCTTTACGGAATCACTTATTTCATATTAAGCTTTGCTGATACGCAATAACTTTTTTTGTACACTTCGAATGATTATTATACTGCTATTTGATCACGACAATCGAACGACCTTCATAAATTGATGCACATTCGCGCATCAGTTGTGTTACCGTACCAAACTAAATTCGTGTTACCGACGTCAAATGATCCGCCTCCATCACCACCACCATCAATGATTAGACCGACATCGACAGTTGTATTTCTCACGCGCACCAACTGTTATCGAGCCGTCCTTCATACAAGTGGTTCTGGGGTTAAGTGCTCTCGAGTTTCGTTCGAAGGAAAATGAAGGGAAAGTGTTCGAGCATTGATTCACGGTCGCACATCGAAACAATTTTTATCAGAAAGAAATATCTTCCGGTTCATTTTTTTTCTCGGCGAATCACATCGAGAGCTTTTAGCAGATTGTATGAAGTGTAATTAAGTTTTCTATATCCGAATATCCACGCAACCAAGTCCCGGCGTAACTAAACCTTCCTCAAATTAAGCACGATTTCGACCATAACTACGAAAGGGAACATAATACCATCAAATTGATGACTTGATTGTGAGAATCAATCTAAAAAAACACTTAGAATTTCATGTAGAGTGAAGGGAACAATGAATTTTAAGTAAAACCCTAAATCCAACAATGTAATTGATTTCTACATGCCAAATTGAGAATCCTTTATTAAAAAAAAAGGCGTGTGTATATATATGTTCTTTTTGGAGGTCTAAAATGGTACTGAAAAGATAGGCAGGCAAGAATCTAGGGGTGAGAATGTTGGGAAGGGGAAGCAAGTGAAGGACAGAGTGATGAGAGAGCACATGTGCATGCCCACGAGAATCCGCACGCGCGGTTCCACCGAGGTGAGCACTTGCACGTGCAGGTGTTTCTATGCCCCCAATTCACCCCTTTTCCTTAATACACACACACACCCACCCACCCACATAAGCAAGCAACGCTCGACACCGCTTCTATACTTCGGCCTGGCGTACCGTACAACCTCACGATACCTCGTTTTTGGTTAATTACGAAAGTATCGTAACCTTCGGCAAAGTGGTCTCGCGATGTTATGGTGCATCGTCGGGATGAAGTGTAAAAAAATACGGTCGAAAAAACAAATTGGAGGACATGACGGTGTACCTTGAAACTTTCCCAACACGCTCTGAAGAACTTCTAGTTCATTTACGTTAAAAATTAAGTAACGAGCGCTAACTATGGTGAAATGTAAAAGATGTAGTGATTGTTTTAACTCCACCGATGTATCTTGGCAGATTGCGACTTTCGCTTTTTAAAGATTGATGCGTTAAACCTGACGAAGGGTAAAGTGGAATGGGGAATCGGGGATTTGGGAAAAGGCGGCGTTTAGGCTTTTCAAGGGATAAAGGCTCATTTTCTTTTATGAAGAAAAGCTAAATAGCCAGCGAATATATTCCTTTACACGTTAAAGCATGTCGATGCAACAGATACCGAGCCACCTTGACTGTGAGGAAGTTCAACTCAAAAGCTTACACTAGGGATATTTCGACATTGGCAGCACATTGGCAATTTCGAGACTCGGATGAAAGGGAGAGCCGAACCCAATCAGACGGGTCAAGCTCGTCGGGTTTTCGCTGGTTCGATTCGGATCAAAGAGAGCCGAGCCAATCGAACCGGTTAACATGGAGCTTCATCCGGTTCAACGGGCATCCCAAAAAGCAATGCCGGTTCTGGTCTCAGGCCCATTCTTTGAAAAAGGCTTTGGCACCAATGAGCCCAGTCTAGAGATATATAGAGAACAGAAGCATTCTAGGAATCTGCTAACTTGGACCACCCATTTCATCGGTTGTTTTAGCCCATGGCCTGGTAGGATTACCCGTAGAACATGACATGGTTTAGGCTCCGTTCGTTTGGCGAAAAATATTCTCCCGGAAAATATTTTCCAGGTTTCCGGTGTTCAGGGGGCGGAAAACATTTTCCGTGGGAAAATATTTTCCTTCCCCCCTCACAAAATAGCTTAAGTTTATGGAAAATGACTTCCGCTTCTTCAAAAGCGGAAATCATTTTCCGGAGCTTCTTCTTCTTCTTCTTCACTAAGGTCGCCGGTCGCCCGCCGCCGGTCGCTGGCCGCCGCCGCCACCGCCTGTCGCCGATCGCCGGTCGCCGCCGCCGGCCGCTGGCGCCGGCGAAAAATATTTTCCGAAACTTTTTCATATTGGTCGCCGAACACCGGAAAATTATGTTCCGGGAAAACATTTTCCAGGAAAATGACTTCCGGAAAAATATTTTCCAAAAGGAGAATATTTTCCGCCAAACGAACGGAGCCTTAGAGATGATCTTCTGGCAAGTTGCAAGAAGAGTTTGATTGTCAAGGGCTCCATCACATCTCGTTCATTTCGATGTTCTTTGAATGGTAACGATCTTGTCCGACGAAAACGGGAAGTGATCGTCAGGGTTAGAGGGTCTAGACAAGGAGTGGCTCCTGACAGGCTTTTTAAGACGGCAAATGGGGTAATAATGAACTGAACTGTGTACCAAATAGGGGAGAGAAATTTTGAGATATATGTACGAAAATTGGAATTAACTCACGGAGAAACCTTTTGACATAACAGCAATACTTAGATTTGGAACTTCAAAGGTAAATATGCTCGGGTGAGAGTGTACTACCAAGATGGGTGACTACTTGAAAAAATGTATGCTTGTATGCCTGAAGGACAAAAACCGTGAGGCTCGATATGGGACGGCCAAAGTGGACAATACCTTAAGTGAGTTAATCCAGGGTGTCACGGTCGTGATTTCTTCTATTAAAAAAGAGGCTAAGAACATCTCTAGGTACAGATTTGCATCATTCCTGTGTCCAGTAACGGTATGTAATGTCAAAGGCAATCATTCAAACATCACCATTTCAACTTAATCGTTCATTTTGTCTTGGTCCACATCATGCAAAAAGCATAGAGACCCACAAGGCTGATACTAGAAGAAATAACTGAAGCAAAGGAAAGAAAAGTTTGAGAACAGATCACACAAATTGAAAGCCACTGAAAAGAGCTTGTGACACAAAAGGATAAAACACCGAGTTGTCGCGTTGAGTGAGAATCGCAAGGTGCGAGTCGGTATCGGCGCCGACCTCACTGGCTATGTCGCGAAAGTTAGGGACAGGCGAGCTGAGTGAGAGCCCGATATGGGTGGCTTATTGGCGACTGGTGGTGGCCTACTGCTCACATGCCTGGCCAAGGCATTTGCTGGTGCTGGCAAAAGATGAGGAAGGCCTGCTCTTATGAGGTCCCTGCCCATGTCCATGCACATGTCCCTGCTCAGGCTGTTTTACCGGGCTTGGCCCCACACTCACCGCCTTCTCGCATCGACAGCTCATCAGCAGCCCGTTCCCTCTTCGCCTGCCTCCGCCGCCCTCTCCGCCGCCTCCCCTCTCCAGCTCCCGGTGCAGCCGCAGCTGGATCCTGGTGAACTCTTCCACATCGGACGCGCTGACAGAGTAATTAGTCACGCTCCCCCGGTCCCATGGCGTCCCTTCCGCCGTGGTGACGCTCCATGCAATGCTGGCCTCGCTTGGCTCATAGCCGCACTCGGTTAACGCATACCCGGCAGAGGATGGCGTCATTGGTTGGTCGTCTAGGCCGTTGTATAGGCCAGGCCCGGTACTGGTGTTTGTCGAGAACCATGGCCTTGCCTCATCGAGGGAGTCCCTCTGGCGATGGTACGGGATTGGATACGAAGTGGATTGAGTGGAAAAGCTCTCGATCTCGAACAAATCCGAGCTTGCATCGCTGGCCGCCTCATCGTCCGCAACCTGGTTTTCTCTCGGGCCGAGGCTAGCCGGTGCGACAAGCAGTTGGCAGGGATGAGTATTGGACGCGCGAGATGGTTGGAACACTTCCAACGAATCCCGCGGCGGATCTAAAGCGAGAGGAAGCAAGGGACTAACAGACTTTTTAATAGATGATTGGCCATTTAGTACCGGCTTCAAAGGAGTAGATGATGAGGACGAAGACATTGATGGTTTCAACACAGGAAAGGTGAATCCCGCATTAGTAGTACCATCAACGAATGGCCTTCCTGGGGCTACGACCGATGCACGAACTTCGGGAGGGAAGTGATTCTCGACTTCTGAAGAGATTCTACGAACGGTATCTGCGATCTTCTCGCCGGTTTTGCTTGTGTAGTATCGGGGTGTCGTAGTTGCCTCTAAACTCTTCTTACTAGTCTCTGAAACAGAAGCAATAGAGAAGGCTTTGGTTTGAGCTATATTTGGCTGAACTTTGTAACCCGCAAGTTCTTTCGATCTGTAGTTACTTAGGCGAGCTGGAGATCTTGGTTCCGAAGATCTCTCCTTAACCCGAACAGACTTCTTGCCCAGGCAAGGGCACTTTTGCTGGAAAAGTAGCCACCTTGGAGAGTTACTAGTCCCTCTTTTCCTATCGGCTACAGGGTCCCTGAGAGACACCAATATCGCTCCAGGAGGATTCGACAGAAGCCCGGTGTGGCTGTTCCAACTCGCCTCCGACGAGGCCGTTGGGGTCGCGTACGAACGGAACGATCGAGCCCTGTAATTCCTCCCGTAACCATCCACGATGGATGAAGAAGCCGAAGACAATCTCGGGAGAAGCGGAGACGGGTCAGGCAAGTTTTCCTTCAGGGGAGAGATGACTCTAGGACTATTGGTGAATTCTTGGTCATTGTTTTCATTGAAGTACTTCCGGGCATCGAAGATGCTGAGCTCGGAATCATCGGCTGCACACTGGTTGTGTTCTCGGGATGGTCTCTTGGGCTCCTCGTCATCTGATGGTGGCCTGAGATAGGATGAGAAGGAGAAGTCGGAGACCGAGAGGTTCAGCTTGTGTGTGAAGGAAGAAGAAGAGTGGACCAAAGAGGGTTCCATGAGGCCACAGATGGGTGGTTTGGTGAAGTTGTTCTTGGGGGCTTCCATGATTGAGAAATTAATGGGTCGGATGTAGAGAAGTTCTGGTTCTGCAGACCCTCATGGTGTGCTGGTAATAAGTAGAGTTTGGGTGCAGAATTGTCCAAGGCTTGTATCAATCATGGAGTGTTGAACTGTCTTACATTTTCTCCAATAAGTACACTTGATGAACCAAATTAACTGAAACATACTGAGTGTCAGTAATTACACAGAGCAGAATTGATTCTTTTTGTTCAGCATTCCCAAAGGAAGAGATTTGACTGACTGACCGACTCATAGAGCAAATCTCATGACTATGGCAAGATCTCGTGAAGCCCAATCTCAGTGATTTGCTCCAGTTGAGTTGTCACATCTACAAAGATACAAATTTATCCAATATCCCGTTTCCTAACGGTTTAAAGTTCACGAACAATGGGATTTTCCTCAGTCAAACTTCGATACCCATCAATCCTCGCTTATGGTCGATAGCAAATTTGCGACATGAAAGAGCGCGACGAGCTCAGCGCATGCATGGTTCACGAGGTTACTCGATTGTGTAGAAGGAGATTTTTCTAAGTTGTATGATTGCCATATCTTATCACATCCAAAGCATGTGATCTACAGCAAAATTATTAGTCCAAGGACATTGACTCTTTCTTTAGATTTTCCGCGAGGTGCTGGGGCTGTCTGTCCCATTGCCAAGGTGCAAATTTGACCTAATTATGGGTTTGAAGATAAGGGACTTTTCTCATTTTCCCCTGAAGATAAGATGATACCTTCCCTTTTTAATTTCTTTCTTTTCTAGGACAAATTGAGGGGGTTATGTTGGATGTCAGTAAAAGTCATGCAATTTATCAAAATTCGCTGTAAAATTTGCTTTCTTTGCGTCTCTATAGACCAGACTTGTATTTTTTTTTTTTTTTAACTTGCCTTTATTTTAATTTTGTGTATGCATAATAATTCAACTGTTTGAACGCTGAAATTGATGACCCACGAAAAGGAGTCGGGCCAAGTGGACCCGCAAGGGTTGAGCCAAACCTACCCAAAAAGGCACATGAGAAATTAAAAGTTTGTGATACAAAGGTGTGGCTGATTGGTCTTGAGCACGACCTTAAAAGGCTTTAGGGAAGATATGGGAAGAAACTCTCCGGTATGGTGGAGGTTTTCCCCATAAGTTATCTCCGTATTTTCTCTCTCCCGGAAAGAAAAACAACAGGAGGAAAATTAGGAGATCTTGGGTAGAGAAAGTAGACTTCATGTCGATATCGCTGCATAGACAAATATAATAACCTCCCGTGCCTATGGAGCTTTAGGGTTCCTGCTAGATCGGTCATTGCTATGCAAAGTGTCTAATTAACCGATTTGCTGACCTAGCACTCCTGGGTTAATTAGACGCGGTTTGAGCGCAGAAATTAATGACCCATGAAAAGGAGTCGGGCCAAGTGGACCCGCAAGGGTCAAGCCGAACCTACCCAAAAAGACAAGTGAGAAAGAAAAAAAATTTGCGACACAAAGGTGTGGCTGACACAGTTTGAGATGATGTAGACCATAAAGATGCCTCATATCTGATGGACTTAGGTCCAGATCAAGTGCCATGTGAGAAATTATATGCACTCCACATTTACGATATGAATGAACTACATGTTCCGTGGCCGAACATTCATATCACTATAAACAAAAAAAAGTTCATGAATTACGATAGGAAAACTTTAATTTTACTGTTTACCCTAAACTGTCGAATAGTCAATTGAATTAGATGGCCTATATGTGTGGATTTGGATAAGATCATATTCGGCATTTCGAGTACACTTATGATCGAATGGAATTGGGTAGATTATGATGAGGTCCTTTGGGTACACTTTGGCGTCAAGACATAAATAGGGGGGGAAATTATCAATAAAGTTTTAAACCTATTGCACTTGTGTCAATTGAGCCATAAGCCTTTTGATTTGGCCAACTGATTTCATAATCTTTTGAAAATTTGCCAATATAGTCGATCCGGCCAATTTTGCTAGGATATCGCTAGTGTGGATGCCGTTCGTCCTACATTACACGACTGGTGACGACTATCAAGGGTCGCCCTAACCAGGATCTGGTGAGGGACAAACTCACCGACTTCGAGCGAGGCTTGCCCTCACCAGAGCCTAGCGAGGTTGACCCTTTGCCAAATCGCGACGAGGTCGACCCTCACTCGAAGCTGGCAAGGCTGGTCCTCATTGGCCTCTAGTGAGGGCGACCCTCGCTTGAGGCCAACAAGGGTGACCATCGCTAGTCGTTGCCTTTGGTCGGTTGTCGGTGATTGGCGGAAAAAGAATGAAAAAAAGAAAGAAAATAAAAGTATAAAAAAATTCAGAATAAAATAATAAAAATTGTAAAAATTATTCACGTTAGCGCTGGCGTACCACGTAAGACAACCGGCATCCACGTTAGTGATTTCTGGCTTAAATTAGCCAGATGGACTATATTGGCAAATTGTTAAAATGTTTATGACTAAATTGGTCAAATTGAAAGATTTAGAACTAAATTGGCATAATGGCAATTGGTTTAAGACTTCTTTTATAATTTTCCCCACAAATAGGATGTGGCTTATATGGGGAAAATAAAATGAAAGTGGAATGAGAAAAATATTGGGAAAAGAGGGATAAAAAATGAAACTTGAAAAGAATATGAGAATCGTCCATAGTTCCATGTATGTAATGTAACCTAAAGAACGCACTGTGTATTAAAGTAGTGTCCCACGTCCAACTAGGTCTCTTCATTTCGATTACACTCGGAATCATTAGAGGTAAATGCGTAATATCTTCGGTTTGTTCATTATTCGCGGATTCTCTCTATTCAACCCCACTACGCGTCGCTGGTCGAACATAATATTAAATAAGATACTGCGATCTCGGGTTCTTTACACAATGAATTCTCTATATAGGATAGAGAAAACTCTTCTACCATTTAATGATACATGCTTTCGGAAATTTGTAGCCTTGCAAGATAGTGTGCACTTGCTCACTGATGATTTCTCATGAATAGAGAGGCCCAAGATGAGATGAACATTGGACAAATTCCTCCTCTTCGGCCAAGGAGAGACGAACTTACACCACGACAATACATGCAACTTGCCAAAATAATGAGTTCTATACAATCTTTAACATATTTTGATGTAGGACATGGTTGTTTGATATGACTTTCCTTATATGGCTCTCTTCTGACAAGAAGATCCGTCTTCACATCTCCTCCTTCATCCTCCACCACAAAAGAATCTCACGACAGAGATCCAAAAGGGGAGCCACGAATGAAGAGATCGATTCTAGAGATGAATGTGAATATAATTTTTAGCTTTAATTCTCTCTCTCACCAATCAAGCACAAACGGCCATGGCATCCCTGCCACTGTCTCTCAATCTCCCAAACTCTCTCTCCTCACCATTCCCTCATCACCATGCAGGTGCAGGGTCGTCCTCCAACTCAACGCCACATGCTCTTCATTCACTCCTCACCACCACCCAACTGCACAGCCACTCGTTTTCTTCTCCTCTCTCTCGCTTCTCCAAGACTCCTTCTAACCCTACAAGGCCCACTTTCTCCTGCAAATCCTACCGTTTCTTAGACGACTACGACGACGACGAAGAAGATGAATTAGATGATTGCAGCTTCGGCGAAGCCGTGGCACTGTTCAACAGAAGAGAGTACTTCAAGTGCCACGACTTCCTCGAGGCGCTATGGAACAGAGCCGAAGAGCCGAGGAGGACTCTCATCCACGGGATTCTGCAATGCGCTGTCGGGTTTCATCACCTCTTCAGCCAGGTCCCTTTTGGGTGTTAAGACCTTTTCGTTCTTATGTTTCTTCTCCGTGTGCGTGTGTTCATATTGACGCCAGTGAGATGATGTGATGGACAGAACCATAAAGGGGCCATGATGGAGTTGGGAGAGGGGCTTTGCAAGCTGAGGAAGATGGACTTCGAAGATGGTCCGTTTCATCAGTTCGAGAGAGAGATTTCTGCGGCTCTGGACTTCGTTTACCAAACTCAGATTGAACTTGCAGCATGTGAGTGAATTCACCTCCACCATTCAACTTAAGCATAAGGGTTCTGGGAGCACGGTGGGATTGACCAACGCTTGCCCGTGGTAGTTTGATTGGGCCATTAGAGCGAATGAACAGACTTAGATTAAGTAGAGCGAGCGAGTGAAAGGACTAGATATAAAAAGGAAAAAATCGCACATACAACATAAGCTAGAAGACAAGTTTAGCCCATAATGAGAGATTCTTTTAGTATATATCACGAGAGCCACCAGACCATCCTACGGACAACAATCCACTTATATCCCGAGGGGTTCATACAAATTGTTGTATTGGCCTTCCATGCTCAAAATCTGAGTTCAATCCACCACACTTCCACAACTTGCAGCTACTATCTCTAAGAGCATGGACTTGTGTGGTCCAATAGTTATTTTTTACATGTAGGATGAAAGGATTGCCAGTCTCATCTCGATGCGATTTAGTTCGGTGCTTAATAAACCCAGAGACCTTAGACTGTATCGTTAAACTTTTAATGCGTATCTTTCTTTTCTAGACTTCTAATGTCTTTTACTGTATACATGTTTCCGGGGGAAGATTTCCTTAAAGATGCGAAAATAATTGACCAAATGAACAAATATTCTTTCGAACTTTCTGCAGGTACTGAGGAACTGTGTATTGCAATGGATAGATCAGAGAGATCCTACCAGCTTCTAGGGGGCTATGGTGCTGGGCAGAACCTGTATCGTTTAGAACTTGACCGTGACGCAAAGATATACATTGTATTCTGTCCGGAGAGAGACTACACAAAGGATGTGTCACCACCTAGGATTAAGCTTCCAACACTAAATGCGTCCGAGGAACATTTTCTCAATTTCAGGTGAGTGCTCGTGACATTGTGGGAGGATAAGGAGACAAAACAAAGAGATGACAATTAAGAGTGGGCTTGGAACCGGCAAAAAGAGTTGGCCATGTTCTAACTTTTTCCATACATCATTGGCTACTGATAGATGCATGCCATTTAGGTTGGTCTGAAGTACATCATTGAGGTCTTTACAACTCATTACACATCAAAATGCGTCTCTTCTGGGTCCATCAATCCTCTCATTTGAACGGGAAGGGTATAAGGGCTCCATAAGGCTACTTTGTCGACATTTCTTTGATGAAATCTATCGAATGGGAATGTTGCTTTTAGATATTGACTGGTACTTTTATGTGTTGGGACACAAGTCCAGCTCCATGCCAATTGGATTTACTCTAAATGGATGGACCATTGAGAATTTCGGTATATGATCAGCACTAACCAAACAATGTCGCAAATAGGATTTGTCAAAACAATCAATTAGTAGCTTGAATTTCCCCTTGACAACGCAGGATCATGTTTATGATTTTTACGTTTCACCAGCATATACCATCAGAGGGCTAAAGAATAAGCAGAGTGAAGCACTGGGACAGAACCGTGATTTAGTTATATAAGAAAACCAAAGTCCCAGATTGAGAGGACAAATGCTTGAGGGACCGAAGAAAAGCAATTCTTTTCCAAAAAGAAACAAATATCCACACCTTGAAACTTTATGTTCCATGCCAACAGAGTCAGTTCTACTTTCCCATGATCAAAATCTGAATTTTATTCACCATCAGCTCCAGTAGAGCACATGAAACCTGCTTATGGAGCTAAAAAGATTCCTGTAACAACATGATCAGAAAAATAACATTGACAGTTTAGCAGATTACATAAAAGAAGATGATAGTAGTTCTTATGGAACGATTTTATTGCCATAACATGCTTTTCTGCACCTCACGATCCTTACAGGATGTTGCTTAATTAAGAAATTTATTGAACCTATAACTGAAACACGCATGCCCAAAATATATGTATGTGGAGTGTGTACAGAGAGAGAGAGAGAGAGAGAGACCTTGTAAAGTATTGTTCTCATCTATCTCAACACTGCACTACTATCTCCAGGGGTAATTTTGACATCTTGTTTCCTCCAGTAGTTGAAGTAGATGAACTGAATAAGTATCTGGACAAGATGTTAAGGATCCTTGTTGGACAAAGATCATCTTGAGCAACATCATTTACTGAACAGGTCTGTAAGTTCGATGTTGATACATTTGTAACTGGATTGACAAGGATACAAAAATGTCCAGAAGGGTACAACCACTTGATTCCACCAGCCAAGGTAAATTTGGCCTGATTTTTGACCAATCTAAGCTGCTGACTAGTATACTGAAACACACAGACGAATCCCACATCAGCAAATGAGAGCGAAATGATGAGAAGAGGAATAGAGATACATAACATGCTGAGAAGATGGTCTTTATTACCTTGCTACATAGGTAATATTTCCAATCAAAGCAAAAAGAAACATCAGTGGATTGAGTCCCTACAATCAGAAAGAACTTTCAGCAAGCATTGTTTAAATCAACACATAATTAGTATTCCTTTGAGATGCAGCTATCATAAGACAATGGAATTTTGACTGGAAGCACATTGTTTTCCTCCCCTAATGAGCATCTGGGAATCTCTTGGCTTTTGGGGGTTTTAGGATCTTGAATCCACAAATATGTACGTGCAAGAGATGGGCAAGAAAAAGGTAAATGCAAATGGTCAGTCCTCAACCGCAGTCAATCACAAATGACTCGGGACCCTATCAGACGAATTTAATGAGTTCTTGTGTTCAATGTCACAAAATGTTTGAGAAACTACCATATGAATCAAAGATCTCACCTCAACATTTCCCCTCCTGATCTGCAAAAAGTGCACAAACCACTGAACATTAGACTTACATCTCAACCTAGCATATCAATTAGAACAATTCTGATGATCAGCAAACGTGGCTTCTTCATTTTCATCATAATAAACCAAGTGCAAGACATAAAACTTTCTGCCATTTGTCTGCTGTGTAAAGACAGAATGCAGTATGATAGAGAAGAAGTATGCCTCACGCGGGCTTGGCGAGTGAATCCAACCATTATAGACAAATGGCCACGGTTACAAGAGTATAGAATTTCATAGATTTAATAACAGATAGTTATATCTCACGTTTAAGCAAATCTGAGGAATCCTTCCACCCACGTAGATCGCTGCCATTGCCCAACCGAGGAAAGTACCAACTCCACTATATCCAGCAAAACCATTTTCTTGAAACAACCCATCATTAACCTGATATCATTTACCAATCATAAATGTGAATTTGAAAAATACCTATGCAAGAAGAAATAGTCAGAGAAATCATTATTCTTTGGGCACTCCTTGTGCAAGGTTTATTTTGCTTTCCTTTTACATGGACATTCTCGATTGATCTAAGTGCTTCCTTTTTCATCCGAATGAGAGCTAAACTATCTTGACTGGTAAAGCAAAAACAAAATCCACCAAATGACCCAGCAATAAGTGAAGCAACACAGAGAGGAACCACGTCAAGCCATGTGAATGGAGATCTGACATTGTCAATGGAACAAACTGTCACTATGAATAGGCTCTCGACAGCTAATCATGGATTAGGCTTTCCACCCATCAATTGTGGATACAGCAGTGGACCTTAGATTTTGTGGTGCCCTACAGGTCTATTGGATAAATCATCTGAAAGTTAAAATCACCTGCAAAAGCTTTCTTCCAAATTGCATGACAAGTCCACTGTGTTTCTTGGAAACAGAACTGGCTGTGTCTTTTACTGGCTTGGGGAGATTGAAAGTGCCAAAAAATGTAACTGCAGAGACCTGGAAGAAAATAAGTCAATAAATGGCTTTTAACTGCTGATGTACATCACATCAGTATAATACCATAGCTCTAGGAAGAGTATACCAGGCATAGCATGTTTTTGGTCTTCGGTGATGGTGCAGATTTTTCTGACGAATCTCCAGCAAGCAATGGCTCTTCAAACGTACCTCGATTGTCAGCATTGTTGGGACTCATCCTTTGTGGAAAATAAGATCCTGCTGTTGAAGTATGGCTACTTGACAAAGATCTCACTGATCTGAAACATACGACTATTATCTGTCATAGTTGCATAAGACAACCCTTATTGCCTTGAGGCAATTTCATTCGCTGTTGGAAATTGTGCTTTCTCTTGCACCAGAGAACATTGCCGCTATAGCATAAACCATCATTATTTATTCTCATATTACAAAAAGACTAGCAACTTTCAAGCGGAATAGATGAAAAATCTTCAGCCAGAGCGGCAATCTAGAGTTGCAAAATTATTATCATCAACTTTTAAAGAATCTTAATGCAGAAGAGCACTATTCTCCAATGATGGAAGACATAATGCCACAACAATAACAGAGAATGATCTCTAATCTTCTAGCATACGTCCTTTTTCTATAGGATAAAAGTGTGAGAATGTCTAATGATCAAAGCCAGAGATTAATTATTAATTACAGAACTACTCCACAACAGCACATTAGTATATCTTTTGATTTTAGAAAAATGCACTATACCCTATCATACACCAAGAGTATTAGTGATAGCCAAAATGAAAGTTGAATGATTGTGCCAGCCATAGCTCTTGAAGTAAACATTTTCTGAGCTTAGTTAAGTCACCGATATCCCTATTTCTTGCAGCCAACTGTCTGATCAGCTCATTTCCATCATTCTTTTCATTTTATCCTCATGTGCTCTCAATGTGAACGAGTCTTACATTATATGCAGCTAATCCAATAAACTCCAAATCAAACAAATAGTGGATGCTCGATAAACAAGCCAGGCAGAAATTCAGATGATAGAGAAATTTAATTACACATAATATAATCCTTTCCCAGGGGAAGCATTTGTTGGAAGTGGTGGAAGAGGAATTGGTGAGCTCAAAACACTTTGTATATCAATGGCATCAGACCCATTTTGTGATCTCTCAGAGCTGTTGTCTTGTTTCACACTGACTTTGTGAATGCTTTGTCTATCATTTCCCGCCGACTCAATCTGATTAGGCTTGGGACCCTAAATTGTACACCAAAGGCAATAGAAGACTGAGCGCGTGCAAAAAGAAGAGAAAAATCATAACTTCTGGCAGTAATTCCACGGCAAACCATCTGTGAGTGTCACTAGAAATATAAGGATTGCCAAATGGGAACCTTCAATATACTAGAACATTTAGGGCAAGGAATGAGCTGTGATAAATTGATAATCTTCTTACCCTAGTACCTGCTATGATATTAAGATGAGCAGAACAATTGTAGATCAAGAAAAATATATTGGCCATTGATTCTCATTCAAATCCGCATGCATCATCCAGTTCTGAGAAAACAAAGTAAATAAAAATGGATGGACCTAGAAAACTTAGGACAGCAGATAATGCTTAAAGGTCTGAATTTGGTTTTAGAAAGGAGGTAAATACATTAGAAATGGATAGAGAAAGATAATAATATGCGAACAAAATTTAAATAATTATAAAAATACAGATCATCAAAGAGCAAATCTGCCTCCCTGAAATCCATCTCAAAGATATCATTCAATAGATTATTGTTCAGTGGAAAAATTAACTAATTTCCAGGCAGGAAGAGTTGGTTCTGTGATTCCAGCAGAATATAGTTCCAATATGATCTTCGAAAGATATGTAGTATTCTGAAATTTTTGCAAAGAGTTAGCAAGTAAAAAGCATCTTCATGTTATTACCTTGCAGAATGGCCGCCTGTACTTCAACCGAGGGTAGATGTGACCATAGTATACCGTTTGTCCAGTGAATACAATTGTAGTGATAGTATACAGCTGCACATTGCACAACATGAATAAAATTATCTCACACATCTTCAGCGATATGGGAATTGAAAAATTGACAGAAAAGAACTGATCATGAACAACAGAATAGGCTTGAATCTCATACCATTGCCGTGTAGTATTGTGTAGGAAGCTGCAAAAGCAAGCAAAAATGTCATGTTGGTAAGCAAGCAAAGATGTCGTCTTGTTATTTATGACTTTGGACAAGAATAGTGATATTTAGGGGTTCAATAGTGTACACTACCACATTTCTACCAAAAAATAAATCCTTACATCACTTTGCTAGAAGTTATCACACAAACCACAGATTCTATGTACAGTATATCCTCGATGACTTTGTTTAAAAGCATTGTTGAGAAGAACAGATAAAACATAAGAAAATAAAAACTCACTGTGGCAGGTTCCAGCATGCAGCCAAAAAGGTTGAAAAAATCCCTGTAAAATAAGATGGTCAACACAGTATATTCATGCCTCAATGCACCAAGAATGTGGATATAGAATAAATCAAGATAGAATTTTCATGCCACTATGCACCAAAAAGCAAGTACTGGAATGAAGTTTCTTTAGCAAGTGTTATAACCGGTCGATGAAGGATTTTAAGCCGAAAAAACAGAGAACGCTGAATCGGCACATCCTTTGTTGAAGGATTTTAAGCCGAAAAAACAGAGAACACCGAATCGGCACATCCTTTGTTGAAACTTGCGTAAATTAAAACATGATTTGTTAAGAATGAATGCAGTCAGCTTATCAACTCGATGTTACGCTGCGAAGTGAATAGATGGATCGGGACATCTATCATTGCAAAATAATTTTCTCCCAAATTCATTGAAACAAAGTAGAAAAGCCCGAGTTGCAAGCTGTTGTTAGACCGTAGGGTTTTCTACATTCGCTACACCAGTCCTTTTTCAGGCAAGAGTAGAAAGATAAGAACCAAAAACATTGGAAGTAG